TCATTTTGTATATTACGATGCTTGTCGTATTTTTCATCAACTTGGCTCAAGTAAATTTCCCTCGTTCTCAAAGATAATTTTATTGGAATATTATATTGAATGATATTTACATGAAAAGTTCAGTGCCTCATTATTATTAGGCATACACACTTCATACATTACGTACAACAGAATTCCGATCTTCCAATAACGGATAATAAAGGCATAACTTGGCTAATTTATCAGTACTGAGAATAATTCACATTTTTAGTGAGCACATATTTAAATAATACCAATATTTTTTCATTTTTCGCTACATATTGATATGTGCATATGTTTGTTTGATAAACTACTGGTATCTTGGATGCATGAATGTATGTGGATGGGTGGCAAGAAAGCTATGGAAAGTGTGTGTCCTAGTAAAACTCAAAGGAGAACCCCCTTCGGGAGGTGTGTAAGGGAAAAACTATGGAACTCTTTGAGAAAAGTGGGACCAGTTTGAGACCTTTTTGCATTTGCCCAGTCAGGTAAAAGAGAATTATCACACTCACAAATGGGTCTAACTCACGAGGTTTACTGTCAACTAGCAAGTCTTTGAGTCTTTATTAGTTCATTGTCGCTCCGATTACTTGTGTCCTTTGTCAACTTCATTGAAAGGTGAACTCTGAAAGGGTCTCCTTTCCTGCTTCTGTAGTCTGAATGAAATGTCGGTCGGCCAAGATTTATTTACTCGGCAGAGGTGCGGTTGTGATGCAATCTCAACATATTTCCATGTTCCGTAAATACGTACATTTCATTACGTCATGCACCTGGGTCCCGCACAGTGAGGTAGTTTTTGCTTGTATGACTAATTTAGCTTTTCATAGAAAACTGGGATGAGTGTGCGAAAATGAACAATAAAAGAGTGAGATGATTTCAAAAATTTTCAGGCTCGACTAATTTTGAAGCATACTTTTTGCGTCACCTTTTTCTGAAAATATTAAAACATAGATATGCGGACGGACATGGTCTTGGTCACAAAACCTTAAAGATGCATAACTAATTAATTTGAGGAGCAGAGGCATCAGGATATATAAATTTTTATCTTACGCATACTTATGTACTTCCATTTTCGAGTTGTATATTCAGATATCGCTATCGAACTTTGATCATTCAACGTTGGACCAACCAGAAGACTCCATAATGTAGGATTCGGTTATTATTAACACGCCTGTTTGGTGTAACTATATTTTTTCGACCACGCCAACAAAACACGATCTACGTGAGTTTGAAAAGAAGTAGTTTGGTAAAAAAATCATTTATTCAAGAAATGAACCCGAATCGGACCACCTGAGTGGATGCTATCCATGATTCCCACAATACTAAAATGAACCTATACACACAATACTATAATTCCAAGGAACTGTGCAAAAAGCATGTGATCGATTTGAGTGGGGTAGAGGTCTACCCTTCACATGTTAATATGACATGGGGCATATAGGTCACACCAGGGGTCAAAATTCCCCGAAAATCGATCAAATGCTTTATGTACGGCCCCAAAAAAGGGATGAGTTGGGCACCCAATCCTTTATTATTATGTGTAGAATATATATATTTAAGTAGAGATTCGATTGAAAATCATAAAAAACATTGTCACTGGATCGAATGTTGTGTGTGTCAACCAAAAGTGTCGTCCTGTATAAATTGTACGAGTTTGATCTGATTTACATTGATTCCAGATCGTTGGGTCCATCGGTCGTTCATCAGTATCCAAGTTAGGAAACTAACACAAATCACGGCCAGCAGCCACAGAACAGAATGTCCGCACAAATGGAACTACATATAAAAGAAGTGTACAATCCCACCTGGGTGGGATTTGGATCGAGATCAATTGTAATTGCACATAGACAGGTACAAATGTTCAGAGTGTCAATCCACCCGACCCGACCACTTCAGTCCCACTGAATCTGCGGTGTAGTGACCGAAACGTTCCAAATCGACAGAAAGAAGAGAAGCTACTTTAGGGTTTATTTTGTCTGTTTGAGACACCTCTACCAATCCCAATTTAATCCATCCAATCCTTGTTTGTGGCAATACGGAATTACATGCAGACGAAAATTCGGGTGGAGAATTTTAGTCTCGTTTGCTGCTTCAACCCGACCGATAAATTAAAGAGGTCCAAATTAAACGAAAGGTAAATAAAACTCGGCAATAATAGTGTGTCCCAACAAAGCTACTGGATTGATCAAGCCGACAATTTATAGTTTTATACAATGTTCATTAGTATTTGCAAGGGCTACTGGCCATTTATGCAATAAAGACATACATACATACATACAATGTTCATTAGTGAATGATGTTGGTTCAATCTATTTTAACCACTGCATGCATGGAATTTGTTTAGCCAAAATAATACCCATCCTCCTACGCATGTACCTAGATACTTAGATTGATGACATTGTTTATTTAGTTCAACTTTCCAGATTTTACCGAAAAAGTGTGCACAAACCACTAGGAAGTTCATTTAAGAAGGGGTCTTAAAAACTAGGGTTTTCGTAAGTATTTAGATATGCAATTTTAATCTGTTTCACTTGTAAGAAGATAAGTACTTTCCACATCGGGTGCAAAGTGTGCTTAGTAAATTCTAAGCTACTAACTGAGTTTTATCATGCAATTCGCTTAGACTGGCTTCGCATTGCTGGACAACTCCACGGGTTTTTGGCACCGCGTTATCCGCACATGATAATAACAATTTCTATTTCGCTCGAAGTCTGTTTTTTCTTTAGTTTAATTTACTGCTGATTACAGAGCAGGATTTTTATATCGGACCACAACAACATTCCTCTGTTTTGCAAACCACCAAAATTTCAAGCAGGTACTTATGAAAAACGAGGACAGACTTAATTACGACAATGATTTCATTTAAGGAAACACTAATGGGATGATTTCGTCGCGTTATCTTTAAAGGAAGGCAAATCTCGAGAAGAGAGTTAAGATTTCAGCAATAAAACACCGCATATCAGTATCTCAAACAGTACAAACAGGCTCTAAAACGATCTGCTTAACTCCAAATCTGGAATAGTGGCTCCTCTTAATTTTCCACTCGCAATTAATGCGTCATCATAAATAATGCTCACTATCAGCGAAAATTGGAGCGTATCTTCAACACATGCACTACATCTTTGTTGACTCGTACATAGGTACATACAACATGAAACGAAAGTGCTTTATTTTGGCATCCCACTCTTGGCATCGGTCTTCCTTAGTGTGTTTTGAGTGCTTGAGAATTCCAACCAAGAAAACGTATTTACTTACTTCCGGTAGCCCAGCATTCTTCGCACCTTCTCAATTATGAATTAGTTTAAGAAATTCATCGGGTTCTGGAACAAAAATTATTAGCACGAACGAACCCTGATTACTTTCCCCTCTTGTCGGGAGCAGTTAACGAGCAAAAACAAAGGTGCTCCATTAATCTTCTTTTGATCTTCTTCCTTGTGAAAGAAGGCACACAAAGGGAAATAGCGATCCGACCAAAGTAGTCGCCGTCGTCGTCCCATAGTAAATAGACCATTGTTTGCCTCCCTGCCGCCGAGGAGAATAATTTCCTTCGTGTTGCACATACTTATTTTACCTCGACCATGACAATCTGTACTTGCTACTACCATACTCATTGTTTAAAAGTTAAAATTGTTTTTTATAAAAATAATGCTGTGATTTATGAAAGCCCAAAAACGATGGATGTGCATTTTCCATGTTTACCTCCACAGTGTGAAAATGTGGAAAGTGCAGTGCAAGTTACATAATGCCATGTGCATACAAAAACGGAATCACGTATCGCTACCTGTGTAAATATAATGCACACTTGGCACTCACTTCTCTGTAAAAAGTAAACAGCTTGGTTGAAATGTGGTTGATTTCCATTTTCATAACTTTGGTCCCAACCAGGTGATGTTGGTATTAAGCTTTTTGGTAATTGGATAAAATCCTACCCCTGACGATGGTCAGATAGTAATTCTAAAATAATACAACTAGAAATCACACTTCCATGCTCACTCTTTCGCGTAGAACCACACGAAGAAGCGATGATGATGACGACCCAGCCTGCACGTCTCAATAAAATACAACCACGGACGGACCCTTGCGGCCTTCGTTAGTGTGTGTGTGTGGACTCATCAAATAAATACGGTCACGCGATGCAATGGTGCGTATATGTAGACATCAAGCATTCGAAGGAAATTGAGCATTATGATTTGACAGCATTATGTATAGCATATCGCGGCGTAGCATATTTGGGAAACTCGCTTTTCCTTCCATGCCTGTATTTTATTTCTTTTCCATATTGCTGGCCGTTGACGCGTTCATTATTCACATTGCACTTCCAATTTCGATTCATTTCGTGTTTCCTCACTTACTTTTTGACACGACAGGGTTCAGGACCAAGGTCGAAATTGTGGAAATAAAGAAAGATGTGATGGTAAACGCAATGTGAAATCGAACAAACGCAAGTGAAATCTTTTACCAAACTCTGATGCAATCCTGTAAAAGTGGAAGGTTAAAAGTATTATCTGTCAAATGGAAGAACAAAACGCATTAATATTCCAGCAAAAGTGTTTCTCAATAATAAGTATTCCAAAAACGCAATGTTTCTCGTGTTTTATTCCTCCTTGTCAAATTTAATATTCGTTACGTGTACTGATAGCTTGGAGTAAATGGGTTTCAATTTACCAAAAACGAGCTATTACAATTTGAAGCAACCCAGTTATTGAATTTCAGTCAGATTGAAAAAGGATTCGATAAAAATTGGTTTGCCAATATGCCGCACGTAACATCTTTGAAAACATAGGTCTGCAGGAGCTCATCAATTTATATATAATTTATGTATGCATATTTCAATCTCGCGTTTATGTTGATTGACGGTACAGAACTATTTTTATAATAATCAGAAGCATGTTATAGGAATTTATGAAATGGTAACTAAGGGGTATGGTTTGCAATTTCGCTGAAAGCTAGACACTACAATTACCACTACACGCACATTTTATTTTGCAACTGCAAGTAAATCAGTTGACGCTCCAATACTCAACTAGTTTAATTAAAACCAAACACTGATCGCTGTCCAAAGGTTGACAAAGGAAGAATGGCTGCTCACGAGTTGCCCGAAATGCCAAATGGGCCTGTAATGGAATTGCACGGTCAGAGGAAACGATTCCATGTGCCCCATGGTTTGAAGCCATTGCTTGAAGAAATCACTCGAGAAATCTTGAGGTATCAGCCAAACGACATTTACGCCTTTCTCTCAAAGTTCATGGAGTCAAAATTGGCCAAACGGGAGGCAGCATCCAAAGAAAAACGCAATAGCGGAAATCGGCGTTGGAACTCTTTGGAAGGACCGGATCTTTTAGACCTCGCTGAACTGGATGAGTTATTGGATGAGTTGAACATCTCCAAGGACATAGCTGACAAACATGCGACCAAAATTCAAGCAGCATTCCGGGGACACCGAGCTAGGCGCAGTTTAACAGAAAAGGGCAAAACTATCCACAAGGACCACAGGAAGAGTTGGGAGTGGAAAAAATGGAGTTGGGAAGGACCATCTACTCTCGACAATGATCAACTTCAAGAGTTTCTAGAAGAATTAAACGTGGACTTGGAAAGTGCCAACAAACATGCGTAAGTACACTACATATATTTACATATGTACATAGATTATGTTTTACTTGATGCAAATATTCGCCACTGCATTAAATTGTTCTGATTGCCAGCACAAAGATTCAAGCAGCATTCCGTGGTCATGCTGTACGCCGGTGAGTCACGAATGAAAGCTATAATCAATTTTTTAACCAATGACCATTACGGTTCGCTAAACACATTACTTACTCAGGAAGAGCAAAGAAGGTACCAAAAAAGATGATGGCGAAAAGAAACTCGAAGAAGCAGCCAGCTCACAGCCCTCTCCTCCCACTGCCGAACCGGCGACGGCGGAAGTCACACAAGAGCCACCGGCAAGAGGTTCCATCGGAGCATCAGGTCCTGCCGTAGAAACCACTGAAGATGGTCAACCTCGTAAATCTGCACCAGGTCGAGCGTCCAAACCAGAAGCCACGGAAGCAGACTCTCCAGCTCCATTACCACCACCAGAAAATAAGGAACCAAATTCTGAAATAACTGGTGAAATTCAGTCGGAGACGGAAATGTCAGACAACGAAGCAGAAATGCCATCAATTGCGAGCCAAGACGAAGCCTTTACTGGTGACGAGGAGGAGACTTGATCATGTAAAAATAAAAAAAGGTGCTCATAAAAATAGGTGGTGAAATACAACACACACAATAGTAGTTTGAAGTTATGTTAACTACTTGTCAATCCGTGATTCACCAACTGGATATTTGTCAAGATTTGAATATAATCAATTTGAATAGGCACACTGATTTACTGCAACTTTATTATTCAAAATGCTTTCACTCTCGAATGGAATGATTAGATTAGGCTTTACAAGAGATCATAAATGTACAACACCACATAAACTTCAATTGTCATAATCACTAAAGTAAGCAAAGTGTATTTACATGATTCATGATAGGAAATAACCACTAGTCAAAAAATTAAGCCTGGTCACCAGTTCCCAGTTTGTCCAATTTAGCTACAAGATCGTCTTCCTTCTTTTGAGCATTTTTACAGAAGGACTCCAATTTCTCTGCCCGATTCCTCAGTTTCTCACTTCTCTCATGTACCACTGACATGTCATGTCGTAGCCTAGCAAGTCTATCCATACCCCCTTTCATTTCGTCCATCACGGCAATCAGTTGTGTCATATCCGGACTGTTTTGTAATACTCCATTGTGCTCTCCGACTTTCTCCAAGAGTTTGCTTTGTTCGTCAGTTAAATTTCGTATTTCTTGAGATACATGAGTCAGCTCCAGTTTGAAGTTATCCAAAAAGCCAGAAACCACAACGTCGGGGAATGGTTGCATCGTGGGAGGAGTAGGAGAGGTCGACGTATTATTTTCTGGCAATTCGGGTTGTTGTACTACTGCCCCTTCCGTGGTGGTGTCGCTAGTATCATGTTCAGTCGGGTCCATCATATTGGTTGTCAGTCCACAAGCATCCAATCTACACCAAATCAAGCAAAAAGTCCATTATAGCACAACCCCCATAAATATATTTTACATAGAGCAAGCACGTTTTGCACACTCATAATATGCTCAGATAAATCTGGAAGAAATATGTAATACTTGTCGCAGCTTCAACCACAGAAAGCTTCATGTAAATCCCAAACAACCCTTTTGAATAAATACAAATAAATTACCGTCTAAATAAATAATAGCAAAGTCTGAAATGTCGTAACGAAGTTTCATTGCGTCAGTATTACAACTTAATGTTTTGCAGCAACCCATATTCCACATTCCATAAAGATACATATATATATTTCAACGTATGTATAATGTTTCATCCAAATTCAAATATCGCAATGCGACGAATTTTCGTACAACAGCAGGAGAGCAGCAGCAGTTCAAAGTTCAACTGTCCCATGTGGATGTAGAAATGACGAACTCCAACTCACACTACTTTCACCACCACCACACATGAGTGAGTCAACTCCCCAGGCTCATGTTATCAAATCATCGCATGGATCAACCCCAACTGCATGTCCGTATTTTGAAATGTTCCACAACCACTGATCGTACAGTATGAAAAGTACTTTTCGAGTACAACAGTGAACTGCGTTTTGGACAATTCCTCTTCGTGACCTCAAGGGAATCCAGGAAATTGTACAAGTTGCGTATCCATTTCCCCTTTTCTCCTGAATATAGACGCTGCCAAATAATATGCAAATTGCCGGACAGGGTACAGCAACATCTTTTACTCGAGTTGTAAGATTATATGTTTAAATATATTTGCGTATATAGATATGTAAATATATCTCTTAATATCCGCGTCCCCTGCATCCGCGGTGGACAAGAACAAAGGATGAGACGAGGAAGTGAAAACCAGACACTAACCCAAATCCACATACCTTTGAATGAATATTATTGGCTCACATAAAATAATAGGGACAGATTTATCCCAACTTCCTCTCCGAACGCCAGCTGGATAATTGAATATCTGTCAAAGCCTAGGGTGCCTTTCCCCACTTGCACCACTCCCTTTGATTTTGTGTCCCATAGGAGCAACTGAGATCAAAAGCAAGCGATTAGCCACATAGCGATGAAATGAATGCTTTTACTACTGCATCATCCTATTCCATCACCACTGAACTTCCCTGCTCGAAAGTATACGTGCGCACTGTGTGATGCAGTGGGGAGAGAAAGTGATGAAATGCACAAGTACCTGCAGACAGACAAATCTACACACTACACATTGGCTCCATTTCAACTGTTTTCAACGGGTTCCATGCGAAAATTTGCTTCTTCTTGGTCCCATCCCTTCCACCCTTTGTGCTCTCGTTGGTGCATGACAGACAATACCGAAGCGATTGGAAATAGCATTCCCTCCTTTCTACTCATGTACCGCATACACATTGTTTTTCTACATCGCCATACGAGTGCTAATGCACAAAAGGTTGGCGTGAATTGTCCTGTGATCCATAACAATCCGAGCTCTGTTGCCGCTGATGCTCTTCTACCCTCTCATCTCATTTCCATACTGCAAGCCATCCTGCCTGGACAACTTCAACACAACTGGACGGATGATGCAGTGAGTGCAACTCGCACGTATTTTTCCCTCTCGTCTCAAATGACAACTCAAGAACATAAACGCTAAAATATTACCAAAAAGCAATACAATTGAGTGCAGGTTGGCAAAGGGGAGGGAACTGTTCGCTTTCCCTTTCCAAATTTGATGATGACAACGTGTGTGGTGCGGGATGAGATCAGTCAGCAGACGCTGGATTCGGACAACTCGCCCTCCATAATATTCGTCTGCAACTGATCACTTGGGGATAATGGAATGTTCACTGACCAGTTCTTTTCAGTTGACTGATTCTGAATTCTTATTTTATTTACTGCTCAATGAGTGCAGACGGATGGAAGAGAAGGAGGCACAGATGAGACTATTCTATTCTTTCTCCTGCTGCTGGTCTTTCTCCCCTCGTCATCCAGTTGGTAAAATACATAGAGAACCGACCACAACAACCAGCTTGATGTGTCGACGACTCATCATCATCATCTAACAAGATTAAGAAATCCGTTGGTTATTCAAACGGCAGAAGTTTGAGTGAATAATAAAATCCCCTCTTTCACCAGGATCCTGTAGAGAAATATGATTTTTGTGTGTATGGGGTGATCGTCGTCGAATGATAGCTGACAACAATATAATTTGATTCTATGTAACAGCCTCCAGCGACAAATTTAATGAAATCATCATATTGCGAGACTCCGTAATAAATAATTCTACCTCATGACATGAAAGCTGAACATCATTCTCACCCATTCCACTCCAAGCCCCTTGAGAATGAAATTTACTGCATACTTTCGCCATAGTCATATGAAGTCACGTCTTGCATGGAAATAAGGGAGGATGAAAGTGCATTAGTCAATAAGGGGTTTAGTGTTCACGAAATGTTGGGAAGACGACCAACGTCTGATTCATGGCATCATTGCCACATATAAAATGTGATGCAATCAAACTTTTCCATGTAACAATAACAAGGAATTGATTCATGAAAAGAGAAAGTACGATCCAAGCAAAATTGGATTGCAATTTCCATCCTAGGTTATGGGTTATTTAGGTCAACGTTCTTTCGGGAATGGGATCACATACAAACACGATGTCGTACTTTCACTTTTAACACGAGTGGTGAAAGATCAAAATGTCCAGATGTCCTTCTGCTCTTCGTCTTGATTACTCACTCGGCTCACTTCACTCTCGTCCTGATTCAGTCACAAGCATCAGGAGTAGCTTATCTTAATTCGTAGTACGTCACTCTCAGAATTCTCCTCAGTCCTGGCTAACTTATGATGCAAATTCGCCAGAGTTTTACATCCTGCAATAGACTTCCACATGTGCAAGTTATACATAATACAATATATATTATCAAAAACGAAGTTCATGAAAAATACTTGAGTGCTTGGAAAATCTTTCCAACATTTTTTTTACAAATAAAAACTTTCACCAGAAATCTGAAAGGCTGAAAACACCCCAGGGTCTAATTTTTAGTTATATACTGATGGCTTTATGGCTGAGAGGACGAGTGGAACAAAAAAATCAATGGATATAATAAATTGGCTATTAAACAAAATCTCCTGCTCATTTCCCCCCACTCACCACTTATATTACGTGCATACAGCACCATCCATCTGCGTGAAGGTAATGACGAAACAGACGAAGGGATCTATTTAAATCAAGAATGTAAACGTGAGACCAGAACGACGTTTGACTTTCTCTCGCGCACTAGCTTTCCACACTAAGCCGCGAGGAGTAGTGGTGGCATTTTTATATATGTATAGATATCAATTGTAATACTCTTAGCCTGGCTTCCTCTCTGTCTGTCGCAACCGGGAGGAGAAGTAGTCAAGTTGAAGGTATGTGTGTTGTATGGAAGCATATTTAACTCCCAGTGAGGCAATTGCAATGAATCTCCATATAATATATGATTTCGTCCAACCGTACATTTCAACAGTCGTGGGTCCAAATTCGGCTGGAGCAAGTTCACAAACCAAACGAGTAATGGATAGGAAGAAATGGAGAAAGCAGGAGCAAAGAAAAACCAGTAATACGAACATCCTACAAGCAATAAATTTCATTTCCACAGAGCAACATCACTTCCAGATTTTCTTCACAAAATGCCTTTCCAAATCTGCGGAATGGAGGACTCTATTAGCCTCAAAACTAGAGTTGTTCCTTCCACGCGCTTCCCCGTCAAGCCACATATCTTCACTTCCAGCTCAGAGTGAATTATATTGTAGAGGTCTAACTTATGGTGACCTATCCAAAGTAAAAACAAGGCCCCATTCCTCGGGTGGGCCTCTCCTCCAAAATATATATCTCACAGCCAATTCCCCAGTCTTAAGAGATCTGGAGGTGAGCACCAATTTTTGCTCACTCGACGCAATCCTCAAGCGCCACTTTACTTACTTTGGCCGAGTCGGAATGGGAAAGGCAGGAATAAAGATATTATGATTCCAATGACCCAGTTCCCCAGCTTCTGTTTTCCAAGTAATGGACATTTTATTTGTTAAATTTAACAATTTTTTCCAACATTACTCCCGGAAACTTCTCGGCTAACTGACTAATAAGTAAGAGGAGAGGCTGAAGGAAGAAAAGCGTGGTGATCAAAAATGTATTTCTCAATCTCAACTTTTTCACTAACTTCTCAGGCGTTCCAGCTGTCTTTAGAAATAATCGCTTTCAAATTGCCGGACAAATGTTAAATTCCTCTTCTTGGAGATAGCAATTCTTCACACCATTCTTTCGCCCTTTCAACTTTCTCCCTTGCAACCTCTTTTCTAATAATCCGATAATGCGCCATTTTTCAACACTCGACTCGAACAATATGGCGAACCAATATTTTATATGTGACCGAATTAAATATTTCCTTTACGTTCCAGCTATATAACTAGCCAGCAATAATTCATCGTGTTTTCAAAAATGGGTTGCGAAAGTATGCTACGCTTCAACAAAAGCAGACAAATTATTTTATAATGCTTGAAAAATTTAAAGTGTGCCTCATTTCAATTGCATATACTTTCAAAAACAGTAAAAGAGGAAAACAAAATACGAAAAAAACATCAACTGCATTCCTTCGCCCCATAAGTCTCTCGGATGTCGCCGCCTTTCACTACGCAAAGTTAACAGTGTCAATGGAGCGTGGCATGTCACCAAAATGAGGATATATTTTAGCCTGCCTAACCATATTACCCCCACCAAAGATCTCTGCCCTTAATCTTCAACAGAACGCAAACACAAACATTGGGAGACTTTTTCAGGAGAAAACTTTTTTCATGTGAACAGACTTCACTGTCACCAACCAAATCAATGTTTTTCTATTAAGAAGGACTTTTATCAACCAACTTTCGCGTTTAGTCAACTTTTGATTATTACACTAATAAAATTTGAAAGAAGTTCTGGAACACTACAGTTCAGTGGTTGGTTAACTATTAGAATCCTTTTCACTCTTCCCATTTATTTCACACCCTAAAAATAGTCGCAATGTGTTGTAACGATGTGCAGAAGAGAAAAGTTCTTTTTGTAAAAAAAGCCAGTGTTTATTTTCTAACGAATGAGTTATTTGATGTAATTAGCAAAATTAAAGGGTTAAACGGACGAGGATACTCTAAAAAGGACCCGTCGTCTCTTATGACACTTCGAATTTAGCATTTCCTCCTTTACTGCATACAGTATAACACAGTCCTGTGATATGCACGAGTGTTTCCTTTTGTAGGAAGCTTCATTACAGAGAGTCCAGCACGTTGCTGAAAACGTATTTGACCTTAAATAACCCCGGAGCGGTTTGTCGTAGCGGGTCAAAATTTTGAACAGAGGAGCATGTTATCCTCAGATAGTTGTGTGCAAAAATTCAACTCTCTACTTTCAAAAATGCCTCCCCCACAGTCCCCAGAAGATGAGACAGTCATTTCAACTTGTTCCAAAAAAATTTCGCCGGTGTTTGCAAAAAAAATTATTTAAATTTTCTGTTGAGGAATTGGAGTGAGTTATTGGTGACAATTTACGAAGAACTATTTTCCCTACAAGTTACTAATTGGGTTCGAAGAGCTTAGTACACGACAAATGCCAAAAAAAATTCAAGAAATTTGGTGGTTTTGAGTGAGGAGAACTTTTTCAAACATTTTATGGTTGTGGGTGCAATGTCCGGTCGTGGTATCCTCCCACTTATCAAAGTCCCCCCAAAAGTGAATGAATCTTCGAAGTATGATGTGGACCGTGTATTGAAACCACTTTTAGAATAACACTTTCCTAAATTGCACGGTAAAAAAATAAATAAGGTGATTTTTCATGATGACGCAGCGTCTTCCCAGACGGCAAAGTTAACCCAAGATAATGCAAAGGACCTTGAAGCTAGATTGGGGATAAAAATCATTTCGAATAGTGAAATACCTGTGCAATCCCTCGATGTAAGTCAAATTGACTACTTTGAGTTCGGATACTTGAAAATTAAAATTTTTCTGCGGGGACCAAATTTTTTAGACGGAGTTTGGAAAGAGTTGAAATGACTGTCTCGACTTCTGGCGGCTGTGGGGGAGGCATGTTTGAAAGTAGAGAGTTGAATTTTTACACACAACTATCTGAGGATAACATGCTCCTCTGTTCAAAATTTTGACCCGCTACGACAAACCGTTCCGAGGTTATTTAAGGTCAAATACGTTTTCAGCAACGTGCTGGACTCTCTGTATTTAAGGCCTCAAATTCCAATGAATATGGAATCGCAATGTTATAAAACTTTCAAAGCCAACTACTTTTCCTCCTGAAGCTAATTTGTAAGTCGGGCTTTTCAACATTTTTGAATTTGTATTTCTTTACGTCTCCGCTAATTAGTTTGTTACTCATTCATGGTTTCAACAAACGCTGAATAATTTGTTCAACCGTGGTGCTTGCAAACCGTGGCGAGTTCATTGTTTCAGTTCTAGCTCGAAATCCTTGCAAAATATGATGGTAAACAGCCCAATTTATTTCTAGTCAATTATAATTTCATTGTGAATAACAATGCTTTCTTCAAGTATTTTTAATAAGGTGTTCGAACTACACAAGCAGATTAATTTTGCATAAGAAAATTCATGATGAATAGCATTTACTTGCATAACATAACATTTACTTTTAATTTATTTGCAGTCAAGCTCACAAGAATATATGCGACTGACTGCATAGAATAAATTTGTAAAGGATGTGAATGCGCCATGGAGAAGAGAAAGTTGTGAGAGTGGGATGTTTTTCTTGAGGTTGTACCAACGACCTAAAAAATGTTCATCTACCAAAAGTTATCTACTTATAGCACCACAGACATATGGCACAGCCCTTAACTTTCTCCGACTGGAGACCTCATTTAGAATTGAATCACGATCAGTGGTGTTTCCGTATTCACAGGTTATCCAACCCATAGCATATACCGCATTCAATTTTCAATACTCATGACTCAGCCACATCGTTCCAACTCACATATGCTCCCTTCGTGTGTGCTATGGATCTCTCTCTATAAGCATTCTCTATAAGGGGTAAAAAAGGAAAAGAAACCATGTCGATGGATAAGAAATAAAATTGGATTCCACATTCAACTCATTACGTAAAATGAACAGCGTTCGGACGAGAAAACTTTGCTGATGTGCTTGGAACTCGCGTAGTTTCAAATTCTAAGAGTAATCACGACGACCACCACTACCCACAGATGAAGATGATGATGATGACCAAGGAGAGAAATTGGAATGGAGAAAGGCCGTGGATCAAAGGAGGAGGAGATACTATACTTACAATACTTTTGCAAGTGTACAACAACCCCAATTGCTTTTAGCGTAGAACCTACAAAACCTATTTTCTTGTTTACTCCGACAGAAACGTATATCCGAGAGGGAGAGAGATTCTTGAAGATTGGTTAGAATTTAGAAATAGTGTCGATTCAACCTCACTTTCTTCTTCTCCTCCACCAGACACTAGGCAGTCAGCATCAGCAAAATAGGATAGCATCTCTTTCTCTCTCGAGAAGTTAATAATCCTACTCTTCTCTTAGGGGATTAAAAACTGAAACATAAAAGGGTTTTGTTTCCGTTTCATAAGCCATTTTCCCATTGGCTTCGTCCGCATTGTTTCTTAAGATGAATTTAAACGAGAGAGAGAGATAGATGCGCCAAGTTGCATGGGACTTTGTATATTTTGTCCAAATCCAAATCCAATTCAAAATTCTCTTTGTGTCAGCCCTTGAGCTATAAGCCCACTAACTAATCTGATGGATCGTTAAATGTGATATTTATGCCAAAAAGTAATATTCACTTTTCACCAAGTTGGCCATGACGCCATAACCTCACGCCAACGGGTTTGCACAATACTGCTAATTTATACAATGATCCCGATCCAATACTTTGTGAACATGTCTGCCCTACACAAAGACGAGTAGCATAAGGTTAACTAAGACAAGACTTTAATTACAAGAAGGAGCAAAGTCATTAATTTTTCAGAACCATTCCTCCATCTCATCTAGTATACTTCGTCATTCTCTTTCACTCTGCCCTTGGCCGGAAGCTTTCACTCCCAACAACTTTTGCTGTATCCGTGAAGGAAGGCGCTTTCAAAGACCAACCGGTCTATCTATCCATCTATATGCAAGTATTTGGTCTCTGACAAAAGAACAAGGATGACGGAGTAATTTTGTCCGCCACAGAGTCAACCACAACACCACAACAACTAGTCGAGGAGGAAGCGGTGGTTGGTTGGCGAGTGAAAGTTAAGTAAATTAATTCACCTCCTCCTCCCGAACACAAAGTGCCGCCGGGAAGGAAGGGACGGATGGAGAGAGAAATAAAGGAAAGTCGTTTCGCCTCCCTCCCAGCAGTGACAAATAGAATGACGGTCCAACATTTCCCTTCGCCGTCGCCACCACTGCCGGTTATTGGATAATTCACAAAGTTAACCTTTTAGGGACCCTCCTCAACTCCTCGGCTTTCACTTTAATATTCCTATCGAGGAGAATAGAAGTGAAAACAATACGGGGTTTCACTTTCCCTTCTTCCCTAAATGTGCCTCAGCCACTAAATAAACATGGAGAATTTTTTAGAAGGAGCAGAGGAAGAGGAGGGTGCAAATTCCCACGGGGAAAGCGCCCCTCTCCGAACGAGACGAGATAGCCGTGAGTGAGTGAAAGTGAAAGCGCTCGTTCATTTCATCACATACAGCAAACCCAATAATGATGCATTAATAATAATAATAAATAATAATGCATTAATGAATGGTCCCGGTTATTTATCAAGACAAATTAAACCAGTAATTATTTCACAAATTTTGCTATTATTTTTAAATCAATATTCTGTGGTTGATTTTTTTGCAACATGCGTTCTTTTGTGCATTAAGATTAAGAAAATTCACGTATTTATGAAAGTGTGGAAATGAGGGGTTTTTATTCATAAATCAATGAAGGATAGCCGTGATCTGTGAATTAAAATTAACATCAACAAGAGCTGAGTACAGAATGGAATAATCGATTCAAATTGAATCCTTCAATTACGAATTACTGCATCAAATGATTTGATTCAAATCCCATATAGGGACAGATTTTAGTTTATCTTATCAAAATTACCTGACATATTTAAACTGTAGGTGTAGTGTAAAATTAGCAGACCAAAGTAACCAAAACATAGGACACTAATTAATATCTTACCGTAATGTTATATGGAACTCTTGGTGGTCTTCCAGTGATCAAAACTCAGAAGGTCGATCTTCGTCGTCTTCGATTTTAGGAACTAATACTTACTCGCACTTTTACTCCCGATTTTTCAGAATACCATATATATTTTAATTGAGCTCTACAAAAATGATTTTTTATAAGATAAGTAAAGTTTGTTGAACAAAAAACAAATGCTGTGTGACCAACATATGATGTAAATCGATACTGGCGCAACTTACCCATAACAAAGGATGATGGGTTGCTCAATGAGTGAAGAAAATGCTAGTAAACTTATCAAAGTATATTTTATTTAAAATTTAGACAATTTTTTGCACGATCTACATTTTTAAATTTTAGTAACATTGTTAATATTATTATTGATTAAACAGGAATGCAACAATGATATACACAAAGTTAAAGGCATCCCAATCTCTTGTTGTTCTTATATTTATATATATATTATATACTTTTCAGAAATTGGTACAAAATTGTCAGCACGCTATGAAATTTAACACTTATTTTCCACCCCAACCCCAAAGACCTTTAACTAATCCGGTGATACCTCCGCCTTCTTTCTTGGGAGATTTCTTGGATGTACCGGCCTTTTCTTCAATTTCATCCATGGGGTATGAAATGTGGTTGCCAGCCAAATCAAAAAATAATGGTTTGCAGGGTATCGGTCTGTAAACAAATGCATAGCATGTTAATACGTTTTTCTGTGTATTAATAGTCAGCTTTACCACTGGCCACTTGGAATACTGCATATAGCTTATTACCTCATTGGTGGAGGGATGGTTATGACGTTTGGTTTTTTGGACACCAAACTTTCATCCAAGACATATTCATCTAATCGTTCGCAAAGTGGTTTTTCAGGACGACTGTATTTAAACAAGTTATCCTCCCCTCCGTCTTCCTCCAGTTTTTGCTGTATAAGAATTTGAGCTTTGCATTCAATTATTACCCCTTCGCAGTATGTGGCGTTTGTTTTCGCAAATCCAAAGAACGGCGAATCGGAAGACAATCCTGGAACGAAATTTTATTCAATTAATGGGTTTAACAACAGTTTGTTTTGATGAGTATATTCAGTAGCTACCTTTCAAAGCCTGATTTATATAGTCGAAACTGCGCCCATATACTGCCAAAGCTTCTGACCAACGCTTATTGTATTTGTAAACGTCGCCAATGTATCGAGACCTAATTCCTTGGAATAGGATTATTTGATCATCGATTTCTTGTTGAAAATCTTCGTCAGTTTCCAATCCAGGAATTGTTTTCATTTCACCAAAGTTATGATTAATCATTTCCACAAATCTAATTTTGTCCTTTGGTACTTGTTTATCTTGCATCATCAGTTCCGTTCGAGAGTTTGTTAGCCTCAAACGCAAAAATAGCAAATAGCTTAATAACATTGATGGCTTGGTTTTAGCGGTAGGTGGCTAGAGAATTTCAAATTAAATTCGTAATTAATTACCATCCAGTAAATATCACATGCAATATGCATACACGTTAGGAATCATTTTCTACCTGATCCGTCTTTGCAGAATCACGAGCAGTTTGGATAGCATCTCGCAATTCAATCAGAATTTGCTCATACATTTCCACTTTTTTGTCAACCTTTTTCTCAAATTCTTCAATGCGTAACAACACAGCAGCAACTTTTTCGCTATTAACAGCTATTTTATTGTTCCTGAATGTCACTTCTGACATTTTTGGCCGTTGTGCAATCATTGCTTCAATGGCTGCTGATTGGTACTCTGAGGCCAAATCAGAAATATCCAGCTCTGAAAATAAGACATTCTCTTATCAGCACAATGTATTTTTTGTGTGTATTATTTACACCTAATCAGACTATGAATAGTTGTTAATAAATTGTTTTATTACCAAGCTCGTGTGTGTTGTAAGAGCAGAATCTCATAGCTGGTAGAATCTCTGCAGTTTTTTCTGCATATATAGCCCCTTCTGGATGCTCTCCAAGTGCTTGTGCAATTTGAGTGTAAATACTCCTGAAACGATATTTAATAACCTATGATGATACAGTTTACTAAATTCCTACTCCGGCGCTAAAGTGATTTTCGACTTGAACGTACTGTGTTTTCTTGTAGGCAACCATTGCATCATTCCACTGTTCTCTTTCAAAGAAATACGCCGCATTTATGAAGGACGCATAGGCTTCACATTCCAGCTTAGTCCTAGCATCAAGACGTGTACTCTCATTGGCGATGTTGACCAAATTTTCACTATGCTTCACAGCTTTCTTCAGACGAGAAATCAGGTGAAATTTTTTTCTCGTTTCCGTATTGGCATCTTGTTTTAAAGCCATTGCACACGCCCAGGCCCTAAATAAAAATAAACAATTTTAATTAAATGATTGCTCCAGAGACTAACCACAGATCGGTTTAATTAACTATAATTACATCTGCGACATGCGTAAATTATTTGCTTATTATTACCGCTCAGTAATAGTCAAAGGTATTTCTAAATGTCGACTGTCCGCCTTTTCCGCATCTATTTCAACCACCGTAATTTCCTTCTTCTTAAAATGTCGCCTGTCTCCTTGTGGAATTTTGAGGGTTTCTCGAAGTCGACGCAGTCGTCGAGAACAATATCCTTGATATCGCTGGTAGTCCCCATGTCGAAGTCCGTGTTGTTGTTGACGTTCCTTGAGCAGTGGGAGGACTAAAATAACAATGAATAATCAGATATATTATTCTTAACGGTCATTTTGTTTTAATATATCAAATTATCAAAATAACTCAGTATTACTTTTCATAGAAATCAGAACATTTCCATCGGCACCTATTTCTTCAGACTTCCCATCCCCAGCAGCACCTTCTGGATTTTTGTCGGTCACCATTATCTAATTGTTAATCTTTACAACGGATAATTTCAGAAGAACAATGAAGAATTTCAGTTAATTTTTCTTGTTGATATGACATACGGAAGATTTAAGAAAACGAATATAATTTTTAAGTGAATGTGGTGAGTGGAAGTTTTCATAGCTTGCCACCTGCAGTAAAACCAGTCAGTCTGACGAGATACAGATTGACCATGTAACGAGATGAGATGAGAATGAACTCGATTTTTATGCTTTGATATTTAGTCATGATGATTGAATTGTTATTTTTAATAACTATTATTAAGATTTAACGTAATATTGCCTCATTAAAAAATTTATTTCAACACAAGTTATACATTAAACAGGGAGGGTGGAATATGGACTTGGGAGAAAATGCTGTGAGGAACGGGCCCTCTTTGGGCGGCGCTGGGGTTGGCGTTCACCGGAATTATTTCGGACGCCCTCTGCTTTAAATCGAATCTTCCAATGTCTCCTCGTAAGCTAAGGATTGCCATCAACTGTTCTCGTGTCAAGTCAGGATAGTGCTTAATCAAACTGTGAAGTTCTAGTGATAAAATGTCCAAATCTTCAACTTTTATGACTTCAGCCGTGGATTCTATCGCGTTAAATGGACAACTTGATGATTTCCCTTGTGGGGCTGAACCAATCCGTTCGAATAGACGACGAACTTGATTCGCTTCGATAACAACTTTTTCGGATGCTTTTTTCCGTTCTTCTTGATTCTTGAAGGCTACTTTCCGAGACATCAAAGCCAGTAGGTATTTTTTAGCAACGAGATTTTTTCCTTGTGTCATTACGTGTTCGAAATTCTTTTGTTTTAGATGCACATAATCCTGCAATATAATTACAATAAATAATATGTTAGCTATATTCGCTTTAAACCAACTCCCCACATAGTTGGACATACTTGAAAATAATCCTCTAATGTAACGCAGATGGTGTCGATAGCAGCCCTATTTTCTAACCAAGGCCTGGTAACTAAATCTTGAAAATGAGGTTCTAAATCCAAAAATGCTTCCTCCAGTAAAAATACTGTCGCTTTTTCTCGAAGACTCTAAAATTCCAAAGTTCATTTATTTATAAGATACAAAAAAGTACTCAGTGCCATGTAAATAGACGCATAATTTCCCACCTCAAATGTCTGAAGAACAGCCTCAAATTTTTGTGCTGCTTGGCTGTCACCAACGGCTGACTTCCAATATTTGTCTTTGGTTTGCTCAGCCAAGTCAATAAAGTATAAACAATTGTTGACAACAGCAATGATAAACTGCGTAAAGTTTTGGACCTACAAATTCAGGAAGGAAACAATCAAGTTCAGTTATTGACTAGTATTGGGTTAAATATGTTAGCAAGGGTACTTTGCTTCTATCTTCAAAGTATTTCATTTTGAATTCCTTGACTTCATTTTCGTATGCTTGTCCATAGGCGCGTATCATGTCTAAGCTGAGCAACAGCATATCTTGAACTAACTCTGACCTGCATATATAGTTGCATATGAGACATTGTGAAGTTCGCACCAATTTCCATATTATAAATAGTTCTTGAAGTACCCGACTGTTTCAGCCAATTGTAGATTTTCGCCCACCATTTTGAAAATTATAATGGGAGCTTCGGTATTAAAATGACCATCACTGTCAGATTGTGGAGATGCATCCTTCCACCACTCTTCAACTTCCTTGTTTAATGCATTTGTTCGCCACGAACGGTATTTGTTGTCAATCGTCTGTTGAAAATTTTTTAAAAAGATTTGAAAATAAAATATAGTTCTAATAAAAATAATGCAGCACTGGTTGAATACAGCGCAAGTTAAATCGTTATACATACCGATAAATAGTTTCTCTTTAATAGTTTCATTGTCTCATCGGTTAACAACGTCTTGGGGATTTGTTCCGGTTTAAGATTTAATTGTGGGCTCAACAATAAATCTTTTCCTTTGTACGTGTTTAATACCCACGATAACAGTGATACAAATTCGTACTGCTCCAGCTCCCCAACGATGCACTCTTCTAACTGCCAGACAAAATAAGCAAATTGACTTTACTGAACTTCAAAATAATAAACTAGGGATTGATTTAGGAATTGTTACCAATTTTGCAAGACAACCATGATACATATTAACATAACGTTCCAAAATTCGATAGGATGGTGGGAAACAAGGAACACACAAGGATTTAACAACTGACAGGTCTTCTAGCATTAATAGTCGCATGACTTCTAAATAGCGGACGAGCCACATTTTGTTCTCCTTTCTTGATTCCAGTTGGCTGAAAAAAGTAATTTGAACTATCAAGAGACTGAAGTATATCATTCAGATCTCATTATCATGAAATCTGATCATCAAGCAATCCAGAACGAATAACATTAAGGAGATTCTAGAAGACATTTTAAATGGAGATTGTTAAACCTTGCTTCTAGTCGTTCCGTCACTGATGCCTCGAGAATATCAAATGTCATTTGTCTCCATTTCTTAGGTCGTCCAGGAGGGAGGAATCCGCTTATATCATTTCTCTAGAAAGAAATAAAAAAACCAAATGAGAATGTATAATGTTCAGTGATATAAACGTGGTCATAAATATCTAGGTAGGTTCAATTACTTGCAGTGCAACTTCGTCAGCTTTCTCTTCACGTTCAATTATTCTTATCGTTGTAACTAGCTCCGTTGGTTCCTTTCTTGCAATGTTAAGTGTTCTTTTCAGGTTAAGGACTAACTGTCTCTTTAAATCGTCAGATAGTTTTTCGACCTCAGAAAAATAAGTCATCAGCATTGTTTGTTCAGACTGGTTTCCAGCTCTTGACAGTTCAAATAGTAAGTCATCTCTGGATGTTTCCAATTCAGCTAATCTCTGTGTTCATAAATAGTTTGCAAATAATTGTGAGCACTTTTATTTATAATACTAATTATATAATTACTAAAATTACTGACCAGATGGGCTTGTAGCAATTTTCCTTCATTAATCAGCACTTTTACCCGATCAATATTTTTATTAATGTTAAATATATTGTTCATGTTTTCCATTGCCATTTCCTACAAAAAATTTAGACAACTCTAATAAATACATGCACGGAGTTATGACTGACAGACAATTTGCAAAGCATACGACTATGCTTTATGCTAAATAGTTTCGATTACCAGTTGTGAATGTTCAAAACTTTCTTGACGTATTTCATAAAGATCTTTCGCTAGCGTAGGAACATCATTCAAGACTTTTTTGATTTCCGTCATACTAAACAATAAGAACACTCATGGAATAAATAAATAAACCGGATTGTACATAGATGGATGATATGTACTCACTGTTTTGATACGATGGTAAGGTTAGCTCTGGCTTGTTTCAACAGTTCGAGACCAATTTGGACCCCTTCCAGCTGGGATTGAAGTGCTGTTTTAAGGGCTACAAATTGCGAAGTAAATTTTAACTTTGAGTAGTGTCTCGCATCTCCAAAAAAACGAATTCCTAAAATAAATCTAATGTTTCATTAAAGGGGCTATGTACTCACCAGCTTCCTTCGCCGCTTTCTTACGAGTTTCACGCTTCTTAAACTCCTCCACCTGCAGTAATAAAATTAGTATACAATAATGGACAGTCATCTTTGTAATTGTTTTCCATTTTGCATAATTAGGTAGTATAGTTCATTACCCGTTCCAGCTGGTCAGGACGCTGTATTAGTCCAGCGATTCTTTCGACCGCTTTAGCACGGGCTGCCTCCTCCAGCTCGGAAGTCCTACTCATTTCGGTGTATTTTATTATATTTCTAGGTTCAATTACCCCAGCGGAATAATAAATTGATATGTTTTAATAAATTCTAATTAGTTAGAGATTCTTCGGTTAAATAACAGATTGGTGTTGTTTTATTTGTTTTGAATTAACCAAATCACACTGCTATAATAAGTTGATTGACTTGTGTATTTTTTGTAACATTTTTATTATCTGCTCAGTCTGAACAGTTCGATATACGAAAGTTTTGTGAATTTCCGATGCAAAAATCATGTACTGTCACTGTAAAGTTGAAAGTTTACAAAGTTGTTGTCAAAAAGTGATGTGGACTCGGATTCCGCCTACCTTGAATCTCAATTGGCCTCCACTTATGTATATCTTACTTTAGAGCAAATTGTGCGAATTAGGAATAATTAGGATAATAAGGAGCTATTTAGGCAGCGAACTAATCCTAAGGCCAAGGGTCTCGCATTCTATTTATTAGTCATACATTATGACTCATCCTAATCCTATGATATGACTAATCTGATACATAATTATTTAATAAGGCAACAGGTGTATGCATAACTCAATGATGATTCATATTATATATCTACAGATTTATTTTAACCAATTACTTAGGATTAGAAGAATGATGGGTAATGGAATATGTACATAAGAGTTTATAATATTCAAAGCGGTACATATTGAAGTTGCAAGTCAAAATAATTGACAAAAATTAACGAATCCTACGATTTTTAATGTCAGTTCAGCTAATCAAGAAAAGCATTTTGGAGGATTCCTGCAGTGAACGGGATGAGACGATTCAAGGCTTGAAATTTCATGGCCCTCTTCAGACCAAGCATTTCCATCCGCATGCTCAGCATCTACATTACACTCATAATCATGCAAAATTGGAATAATGAAATATTATGCTCAGATTTGTTCTCTCACATATTCATAAATCTAACGTTTAGTTCCATAATAATTTCTTACATCTCGGTTGCTGCAATGTTCAGTTAAATAGCGTAAAATTTTTGGTTTTAAATCGGTCTCTTCAGGTAACAGCAAATCACCAGCCATTGTTGATTCGTCCCGGAATGCCTTGAGAAAGTACATTATCTGATGTAAGGAAGGACATATATGTATAATTAATTGAACTAGCAAACTAACCAATTCAGGTCGCTCGAATTCCCTGGAAGAAGCCGGCAGCGTGGCTTGATTAGGGTGATTCGTAGGAAATGTGGTCACGAAGGCCGATGATGGATTGAAGCGAAATGGAACTTGTTCGTTCCTTTCCTCTGGGTGGTGATTCATTTCGGGAGGATTGGCAACTGGGTGATCCCTTGGATTCGTCATAGTTTGAATCTTTGTGTTTGCAGGTTTAGGCAGTGAAACATTTTTACTGGTTTGTTTTGTAGTCCTGGAACGCTTCTGTTTTTGACGACTTGATACTGCGGCAGGTGCCACAGCCGTCGCCGTCTTTGACTTGACCTTTCTGTTGGGGAGTGTTCTCTTATTTGGAGAATTTTTTGTTGAGGTGGTTCTACTACTCGAGGGGTTAAGTGACGATTGTGAAGATTTTTTTCTCCGTCTGGCTGACTTGGCTTTCGTTTTAGGCATATCATCCTCCTCATCACGGGCCAGAATGGTGGCATAGTACGTGTCCCTCTTCGTTTTATATGTGTAATAAAGTTTATAAATTGGAGACGAAAAATCTTCAATAATTTGTCCATAAGCCCGAAAAACATGTTTCTGCGGATCAATCTGGATCTGATTTTAAAAACAGTTTTTTTATAACTTTCCACTTAAATCTTGTGTGACTTTTAAGGATACGAAAAACGTTATTACCTTCAGAATCTTGAAAACTTGGTTCCACGTGAGATTAACTGAAATTGCAACTGGGATTGTAATATCGCCCTCGATAACCCCTTGTACTTGTGAACGAACTTGCAATCGGACGATGCTAATTTCCTATAACGGTCAAGGACAAAATATTAACTGACGTTTAATTTTCCTGATCAGTCAAAAGGTTTTACCTCGCCCAACTGCTTTCTTCCATTTTGGACTCCACATGTTAAACTGGAAGAGCAGACAGCTTCACTTCCCCCAGCGCCTTGATTTAACGAGTCCCCCATTGAAAATCTAAAGTGAAAAACACAGAGAAAAAGCAAAGGTAACGCAAACTTTCACATTTAATAAATAACCGAAGACTGGTTTATAGGCTAGCTTAGCTAACTATGACGGTGCAGTGCAGCTTTGACTTGCAAAAATGGCGATTATGTACAAAGACACAATGCAAGAATTTAACAACTAACTCATTCTAAACATTGCTGATTATGTGCTGCTCATTATTGGCTACATTTATATGGCAAATAATAAATAAAAGCAAGAAGAATGCATGAACCTATCTATATATGCAGATATAGATACAAAAGTAAGTATACAGGGCATAATATCGGATTACATTTTTAAAGCTGATTCGTGAATCAGATCGGAAATTCGATCGTTAATTTGACACCTGAATGGGTAATGAATGGTAACTTGGCGAACTTAGGATGAGGTTTTGGGATCTTCGATACCGCATGAATTTACTTCTCTACTAGTAGTTTTATATAATAAAATCATATTATTGAAACAACAAATTTCCAGAAATGTAATGCTAATATGCGCTTTTTATCACGATGAATTTTGATAAATTTTGTACGGTGCTAATAACGTTTGGCATTTCAACATGGGAATGTGAGATTTATTGAAGGCATGCAATAATGATATTCGACTTGAGGCGAGTTGAGCCGGTATGTGTGGGAATGATTGTGTAAACTTTGGAGTTTGGACTCACTCACTGACATAGTGAAAGTTCTCTCTTGTGTTGGTCTCATTTTTATCTTGAAATTGCTCTCTAAAATATTTCCAATATTCCAATATTTAAAAATGTTAAACATGTCAAAAACCACACCTCTTCTACAGACATTGCGATCTTTCTCCGGGTACCGTTCCATCTCCAATGTGAGTATCATCGGAGGAGGCTTGATGGGTTCTGGCATTGCTCAGGTAAATATATTAATCTTGGACCTTAATCTTAACTGCATAATAATAATTAGACTCAAAGATCGTATTCCACCTATTTGACTAAACTAGGTAGCTGCAGCTGCTGGAAACGATGTAAATGTGATTGAAGTTAATGACAAAGCGTTGGAAAAGTCCAAGGCAATCATTACCAAAAGTTTAGAACGTGTCGCAAAGAACAAATTTAAGGTGAGTTTATAATATGTTTTCCCGATTTATTATAGTTTTACCGTTACTTTAGCCTTACTGTGAGTTGACCTATTTTTCTTGTAGGATGACCCATCAAAGGCTGCCAGTTATGCTCCCTCCATCCTTAAAAAAATCAGTTTCACCCAAGATTTGGGTGTTGTGAAAGGTTCGGGATTAGTTTTAGAAGCCATAGTAGAAAACTTGGTAGCGAAACAAAAGTTGTTTAAAGAAGTTGAATTGGTATGCGTACATATATTTTACATTAGTGTTATGACCAAAGTAGTCTTAGGTTTTAAGAAAGTATTATCAATTTACAACTTGATATTTTACAGCTAACTACTGACACAACCATTTTAGCCTCCAACACCAGCTCCATACAAATTAAAGATATTGCTCTTCATTCAAACCGTAAAGATAAATTTGCTGGTCTACATTTCTTCAACCCAGTGCCCATGATGAAATTGTGATTTTCAAAATTTTATTAAGCTAACTTAAAGAACTTTATTAGTTTAATTTGTATTAACTTTTAATATATTGTTAGATTGGAAGTTATAAGCACTCAAGAGACGTCACAAGACACATATCGGAAGCTAATGAATTGGGGACAGTCGATAGGAAAAGTATGTGTAACCTGTAAAGGTAATTGACCATTAAAGAAAAATGAAAATCATACGAGTTTACAAAAAAGTCAATTATTATGTAATTTTTGTAATCATAATTTTTTAAAGACACCCCAGGATTTATTGTAAATAGACTGCTGGTGCCATATCTCGTACAAGGGGTGTTAATGTATGAAAGAGGTGAAAAATTTGTAGCGTATGCGCTAATGCTTATAAAACTATTGGTTAAAGATCGATTCTAATGTCAATTATTAGGCGACGCATCTACTACTGATATTGACATTGCAATGAAGCTGGGGGCTGGCTATCCCATGGGCCCGTTTGAACTAGCGGACTATGTTGGCTTAGATGTCATACTTTTTATTCTACAAGGTTTGATATTCATATTACTCTTATGCAATCTTCCGTATTTAACTTTTGTCATTAATTTGTTGCAATTGCTAATGAAGGTTGGGTTAAAAACCATCCGGACAATGCTAGCTTCGTGGTGCCCAAAACTCTTGAAAAACTTGTTCAGGAAGGAAAATTGGGAGTCAAATCCGGCTCAGGATTCTACAATTATGATAAGAAAGGAAAATAATGTTATAGTTTTAATTGAGCTTTATTTTAAATCACAACTTTTGTTCAATCAAGAGAACGCATGAAATGTGCAGATTTGTGAATGTTGTTTCTTATTTTAGAAAGTAAAATTATATAACAAGACCTTAATTAATATTTACTGTTCCTGTGATTAAGTTGATGAACAACAAATTCGGCGGTACACGCACCCATCCGTGTACATACATATAAGCGCATTATCCCATTTATGCACTTGTGCCAAAATGAAAGATTCGAGTCGATACAAAATTCAAGATACAAGATTAATCATCCTCGTTATCCCAATACGATCGACCCCAGTGATGTCCTGGGTTGGAGTGTGGCCGTGGAGGTCTATTTGCTTGCTGAGGGACATTACTCGTCGACATGTTTCGATAAGGGTACGAAGACTCGTAATCACAATCCTCGTAGAATTTAAAGAATGGGTGTCTCTCAGGTTTGGTTTGGAAGACTGGAAATCAGAAAAATTGGTGTAAGCGAATTATTGATTTGATATGCACATTTGTCATAAAATTCAAATTAATCTCACAAGTTAAATCAAGAGGTGGCAGAGAAGATGAAAAGATGAATCCATTTTCTCCTGATATTGAAGCTGACGGGGGAGACATTAGCATTGCAACATTCTCCACTTCGTCATCGTTTCCCCAAATAGCGTCGTTGTCATTGAACCGAAATTCTTCAATGGGGGACTTTATCATCGAGTTCTTCCTCGACATCACCACCGAAGTCTTCCTCGACTTTGGTTTCTTTGTTGGAGTTTCATGATTCGCAAAAAACAACTCGGAGGATGAATTCCTATGTTCCTTGACGCATTGTTGGGAAGTGCCAATGAAAATATGTTTGACAAATTTTGCATCCACCCATTTCTCCAAAGCTAGTTTGATCTAGAAAAAAAGATGGGAGACGAATATTTCAGATTTGTACATACATGACTATCTACCAGATGCAATGAATGTATTATGTATTTGTTTACCTCCACATAATATTTAATACTTATAATGTTGCATCCAAGTAAGTCGGATGGTGGAAGTACAGGAATTTCAAAGTTGCTCTGCCACAATAGATATCCACCAACTTCAGTTGGTGGCCCGTTCAGTTGTAAAAATTTATCATGACTGGACTTTGTTTCGCCTTTAGCGTGGCCAGTGAGTTGCTACACGAAAAAACATCAATTATTCAATTCATTAAGCTGTCTATATGTCGAATGTTTGGTAAAAAATGTACCCGTTTTAAAGACACGTGAACACGATTAATTCTAGTTGACGATGTATTACGGATTTCAACGCCAAATTGCAGAAACTCTCCAGGCACGAAGCCAGTTTTGCCTATCATAAAGTTAAGAATAATTGGTCCTTTCTGACAAAGGTTGAATCCCACGAATTTTTCTTGTTGCATGCTCGCAGGTTCCGCTGTCTCTGGAGACAGGTCAGAAATACTTGTGACATGGATTACAGATTCTTGAATTTGGTCATCCTTCCACGGACGTTGAATTGCGGCTTCCAAATAGTATCGGACAAAGCAGTGTTGTCCTTCAATGGAGCTGGGAATATTGGGGGGAAGTTGGAGTGAAAACAAGTATTCATAGGAGCCTGGAGCCATAACCGTTTGTCTGCCATCCTCTGCAAAACAATTTTAAGTACTCGCTAAAAAATACTAGTTAACACTTGCCCCCTGATGAATGTGGCAGCAATAATTTGCAAACCTGGGACAAGTAACTGGGCAGTAGCGTTGACGTATGTTTCAGATTCTCGATAAACAGTGTTATGTTTGATTCCAGTGTTGTCCCAATACACATTTCCTTTTCCGATTAGTCGAACGACTATTCCTATTTGTTGAATATTTTAAATTGTATGATTTATTTACAATATCTGTTGCATGCATTGTATAAAAATACCTCGCACAACTTTCTCTTTGCCAAGGGCCAAGATAACCCTTCCTTCGACCAATTGTCCCGCGTAAAACTTTTTTGTGGTGTCGTCATCAAGTCGAATTTCGAAAATTTGAGGGTACATTCTGCAAAAGGGCTCCACGTATCTATTGCTCCTCACTTGTAAATGGAAGGGATTTTTTTATAATACTCGCATACAAATTACCATCACTTCCACTACGTGTATGAAGTACATACGAAAATTACATGCCCATTGGATACTTTACAGATATTTAGCAGAAAATTTAATATTTTTGGAGATCTTAAAGCCAGGTGGGTGGTCTATTCTACCTATTTATTTGGAATTTGCTGAAGTGGAGGTGGAATATATGGGACTGAGCAACCTAGCCCCTGCCTCCACGTACATTCGTACATACGTCCTGAGTTATCGATTACTTTCACAGCTTTCTCTACTCACATATAATACGCAACTCTTTGTGAGAATTTGTTGGCGTCTATAATCCACTTTGCCAAAAATAGCATAACCTGTGCACGCATTTCAACAGTTGAGCAAATCGCGTAGTTTCCTGTCGCTTCTGTGCACTTCTCATATTCCAGATTATTTTTGGTCCAGCGAAGGATGTACGACAACGGTGCATATATAAATAGATATGCAATTTGCCGAAAACCATATCTTTGGTATTGTGGTCTATCTATGATGGAACCAAAATAAATATATTTCATATTTTCTAATGTACTTTCCATTATTTGTAAACAGTGGAAAACACTGCTTGCGTCATCAAAATTAGCTGATACATAGATGGAATATGTAACATTATGTAACTCTATGATTTCAATATGCAGGGATTTTCAACGGTCAAGTGTTCTATGGTTATGGCTTCTTATGATCGGGTTGTGATTTTTTATTTTGTAAGTTGGTTCTTCTATTTATGTATGTATATGTTCCCTTATAAAACAGTTTTATTTTTGGCACGAATACTTTGTATTTAGTTTTTGTTGAATCAAGTGAATCAACTCGGCGTCTAAAATAGTATATATATGCTACTGTCAACTACTGTCTGTTAAGAAAGTACCTGCTTCGTGTTCTATTGTTGTACGCAGACACATATTTCTTAAATCCAGAGCATTGACCATCAGCAAAAAAAGAGGAACTTGAACTATCAAAAATATTAGACAAAAGACGCTTTTGTTTTGTTTCATGAGTTGGTGCGGATATACAAATCTTTTATCATCCAGGCAATTTTGTTAATGGCACCGTCACGAAAATCCATCCATAAAATGAATGGAACATCGTAATACGTAACCAGTCTTTTTCTGATAAATCGGGGTTTCCAGTGAAAGTTATGACAAAGGCCATATTTTTAATTTATTGAACAAATTTTAATAATTGTAAATAATAAGTAGTAATTGTGAGTCAAGGGTTGAAGATGAGGTTTTTAGCTGAATTCATACGCCTTGGTCCTGCCATGTTCATTTTCATGGAAGTATTAGAACTTCTCCTTGCCAAATTTGTTTTCATGGATCTCAACAACGACGAAATGGATATGGCATATGAATTCAACATTGACAGTTTTGACTATATTATTGGTAGATTATTTATCATTTTGTGATTTGGTATTTTATGTGATAATTATATTTTCTTGTTCTGCAGTGGGCGCTGGCTCGGCTGGTTGCCAACTGGCCAACCGACTTTCGGAAAAATATTCAGTTTTATTACTTGAAGCTGGGGGCCTCCCAAGCCCCTACCTCAGCATTCCCGTTTATGGATACCTTCTCAATAATCAAAAACCTGTGGATTTTGCACATCGAACAAGCAAGTCTAATATACATAGCTGATTATATTTAGTTTAAAAGTAGTAATTTATTGCATTCTAAACATACACATCTGATAGTTCCTCAGCGAGATGCTGCTTTCGGGCTTAACAAGAGGGTAATTCTAGTGTAGCTATATAATATGTAGACATGGTAGATTTCATTTCTATGCATTTCATGCAAGGGACATTCTTATGAATATTTTGCTAACTATGAACGCCTTTGACTAATGGTAAAGGTATCTCACTGGCCTGGAGGGAGACAGCTTGGAGGCTCCTCGACAATTAACGGACTAATATATATCCGAGGAAATGTTCAAGGATTTAACAAAATCGCAGAGAATCTTGGAGATGAAAAATGGAGACTTGAAAATGTATTGAAATATTACCACAAGATTGAGGATTATTTTGGCTATTTTGAGGATGGTATGAAATAAATATTATGTAGCGTTATCAATTATGCTGGAAAAAATGGTTATTGCATATTTTTACAGGATCCCACGGAAAGGGTGGTGGGATGGGTGTGGAGAAAGCTTACATAATGCCATTTACATCTCACTTGCTCGACTCTGGATTGGAATTAGGGTATAAAATTAGGGATCCCAACAATGGTCCATACACGGAAGGTGATGATAAAGATGGATTTATAAAATATTTTGTATAAATCCAATAAAAGGTAAATATTTTTCTCTATAGGGTTCGCCCCAATGGACTTTTACACAAAAGGGGGACAACGAGCTGACGCATTTACTGGCACGTTACTCAAAGTCATGAAACGAGTGAATTTGATTGTTCGAAAATTTGCTTATGTGACCAAAGTTATCATCGTGGACGGACAAACGGTTGGCGTAGAGTATGAGAGGCATGGGAAGGCCTTTCGCGCCTTTGCAGATAAAGGTATCTACATATTATGTCGGTTTTGAAGAAAGAAAATTTGTAATGAAGCAATGCAATGCTCTGGTTCTTACGTGCACAGAGGTAATATTGTGCGCTGGAACTATTAATACGCCACGAATTTTAATGTTGTCCGGTATCGGGCCCCGGAAAGACCTGGAGCGACTAGGGGTGAAATTCACATTAAAAAAATACCTAATCAATATAGTCAGTAATTCCATGATCAACATTATGTAAATATACGTATTATATAAGTAGATCAAAGTTGTGGCTGATCTTCCTGTGGGTCAAAATTTGCAAGATAAATATGGGGCCCTAATGGGACCATTTATCGTGAAGGACGGCTATTCATTCATTCGAGAACGAGATATCACGGTCCAAGTGATCCTTCGGTGGTTATTTACGGGAACGGGTCCGATGGCTGCGGCGAGGACGGAGGCGACTCATTCGTTTCTCACAAATTTCTCCAGAGCTTTAGGGGACACTGTTGAACGAGATGGTCTTGATGTCCACACGTACGTCATTTCCTCCTCCACTGATGGCAGGACGGAACTGGACTATGGAAAGTCATTCAACTTTAAACAGTCGAGCTTGGACTATTTTGGGTCAGCGCGAGGAAAGGATTCATTTCTTCAACTGGTCACCTTAGCACGACCGAAAGGAGTTGGCTATGTTAAGCTGCGCGATAGAAACCCACGAAGTCCGATGTTGATTGATCCGAAATATTTGCAAAATAAAGAAGACGTAAAAATCCTGGTTGAAGGAATGAAGTTTGCAGTCAAGTTAGTCGAAGAGACGAACGCGATGAGAAAAATTGATGCACATTTAATGAATATTCCGTTTCCGGGTTGTGAAAAACACAGTTTTAAAAGTGATCGATATTACGAGTGCTTAGCAAGGCACACCACGATTACTGCGTACAAGTACAGGTATTTTACTTATGTTTATGAAGAAATAATAAGTATAAATTAAGGCCCTCATTTACAATTTTACAGCGGTACAGCTCCCGTCGGCAGGATGGGTGACCCTGAAGCCGTTGTGGATAATCGTTTACGGTACTTTTTGAATTAAATCTGTATACCCAGATGTACTATTTATTTGTATTAATAAGGGTTTGATGTTTTTAGGGTGTTTGGAGTTCGAAATCTTAGAATTGTTGATGCTTCAGTATTACAATTGAAATATACTTCTGTAAATGACGCAACGATGCGGATGCTGGGTCAATTTTCTTCAGACATGATTTTGGACGACTGGAATAATCCAGATTTGGGACAAAATCAATACGCTTCTAATTTAATGAATTTTACGCAAAATAATTATGTATGATGCAGAGAAACACAAAATGTTTATTTTATTATCAAACTTTTCACACTTGGTCATTTGGTATGAATAAACGGTTGCGTATAAATGATTGAGTACTGAACCTCAGAGCCGGAAAGAGTTAGTTTTGGTCTGCACTCATTTTCGTCGATAATATTGTTTAGTGGACATTTATCACTATAAACCTGTGACTCATCATTCTCGCAAATGTAATTATTGAGTCTATGTTCGTTTTCAGTCCTCATCATTGACGGCGATGGTGCAGGAGTATTAAGTCTTGGTTTCGAAATTGAGAACATTTTTCCATTTGTAAAGGCGTCCTTATCGCTGGCAACCTCCAAAGAAAAATAATAAATCGCACAAAGCCCGTAGAGTTTTATTAAGAATGATAAAATTGCGAATGCAACCCCAACTTTCGTAAATTTTATCACTTTGCAAAGTCCGAGTGTTAGTATGATGACTATCATAACCGCTTCAAATATGCACCATATTTTGCATGCGGTTGCGTGTTTCTGAGCAAAAAAAAATATATGAAAATACGTGACTGCAGTTTTAAAGTTTTACATTAATCACCTTTCTGTGAGCCCAAATCAGAATCCATGACATAAAAAATCGGGAAAGGAAGCCTAGAGTGAAACCACATATGCATAATGTTATATATATGTTACATATATTATTTTACATTACCAAATAATAGCAAAGTATGAATTGATACCTAGGCTAATCCAAGGATAGTTAGTGAAAATAATAGAAAACTCCAAAAGCGACCAAATCTACGTATGAAATAAGAAAGTGGATAAACCGACGAAGTAAAAATGCCAGCACCAAAATGTTTAACTTCTTACAAGGTTGATGTACGTGAATATTTCCAATTGACGTGATACTAGAACCGTCTTCCAACGAATAAGCCTGGCTTCCATAAATTATGACATTGATGAATTATTTTATTAAATTTTAAACAGTTAACAAATTAGTGATTACACCATTTACAGCAATGATCAACTAAAACTTGAACGGATGAAACTCATGAGCAGCAGGAAAAATGTAGTATTTATTATTGCTCTTGAGCAAATAATTGCGGTTAACCTCATTGCTGCGATATTTGTTCTTTCGTACCAGGACTGGCCTTTGTCTCCTAGTTCTCGACGGCTCTAATAAAGCAACATTCCCATCATTTTCATTGACGACCAATGCTTGGTACATTTTATTAAAAAATGTCTCCACCACGCGAATAGTGTTATTTGTATTTGCCATAGTTTGCAGGAGTTTGGCCTATAAATAAATACCAGAATTTGGATCTTGTCATATGGAGTAATTAGTATAATATTGGGTTTAGTTGGTCAAATCACATACTTGTGTTACGCCTACGGCATCGCTACATAAATAATTGCAGTTAAAATTATTAGCTAAATAGATTTACATAATGTCAACCATGTATGCATGTTTAAAATGTTTGACATATAACCTGATGGAGTCTGCCATCCAATTCACTTTGGGTTTAATTGAAGGAATTATATTCTGGATAAAAGCGATAAGGTTTTTATCGAGTTCTCTTGATAGCTCCTCCTTGTAGCGATAATCAGGAAGTTTCGATTCAGGTCTCTCCTGTGATCTAACTTTTCTCAGGGTTGAGTTAGTAGAAATTCCAAGATTTGAGACGTTTTTTAGCCGATTTTTCGAGTAAATTGACACCACAGTAGGAAGAATTAAAAAAGATGCCAGGACGATGCCAGACCTCCACATTTTGTGACAAGCGTATCTTATGTAACTTCCTTGCAGAAAATGTAATTGTAAGTGAGTAAATTTTGTAACAAAGTCCATTATATGTACATTTATACTTTTCATCTTTTTTATGGTTGAATGTTATATGTAGATGCTCGAAATATGATAGTTTTTAAAATGGCAGAAAAATGCACTTTCTTAATTATTGTGTTCAAATGCAATGATTTTTGTGCTTTACATGGAGTGCAGCGGCATTATCCACATTCGTACCTAGGATATATCATGACAGCTCTTGCATCATTTCGTATACATTTTCGTGATCAACCCCTTAACCCTAACTGAATGCGCACATATAAAGTTGTTGGACAAGCTTTTTGGTTGACCTAAACATTTGGCGGAGGGTATTTATCTGATCGATAGCACTATTATATGAATTTCATGTGTATGCATGCATAGGGGGAGATTTGTCTTGGCTATGCTTTAATATGGGAGCAGGCCTGACTTACTTACGTCTAAAAAGACTTGTTTTGAACTGCAAGTTGTAATGACACGAGAAGAGCCTGCAAGACAATGCTAGATCTGCAAAAGTATCACAACTCATCACAATTCAATGTAAGTGTAGGACTCAAGCAGTTTTTATTCATGAAGGAGTAACATGTACATACATAATTTTCTAAGAAAATTGAAGGTAGTCATTTTACTTCTGTTCTGTTCAACTGATTTGTAGGACCATTAGTTTAGCTGCAAACGTAAAGAAATACAGAGTGGCCAAATATTACAGTTAAACCATATTCACGAGATAAGTAATATATTATTTGGTAGAAAACAGTTTGGATCATATGCGAGTGATAGCGTCTCCTCAGTATTGCTAGAAATAGGCGAAGGTGAATTTTATAGAAAAATGTTGTGCTCAGATAAACTTTCTTTGAGAACATCGACATATTTTTGGGCATTTATGCACATGGTGAGAATTTTTAATTTTAATTTTATTTTATTATAAACATAAGTTGCAACCTTTTTATTGATATTTTCATACAGTTTTTGGCCGTCGTTTTCTTACTCGCATGTTCTTTGGAATCTTTTCAATTCAATCGAAATGAAGATGAGCAAAGTTTTTGGATTTACGTATCAGCTCCAATTGTAAATTTTCTAGATCATTTATGATATTTTACATTCTGCATTTTAAACTCTAATCACTCCAACAACTAATTCAGGCTGGTCGAAGGGCCGATATATTTATTCTCTGGTGCTACGGAATTTTATACTTTTCCAGTGGCATGATGATGTTTCATGGAGTTCACAAGGTAGAAATACACATACGTCAAACATCAAAATGACATTAAATTACTAAATTGTTGCATAGATTTGACTCATTTATTTCAACCAATTTGTAACAGGAGCTGACAACTCTGATAAAATGCGTACTTTTTGTGTACATCATCTTGGAAGTTTGTGCAATAGGATTTATTAAACGACTTATCAATAGCAAATTGGAAGAATCATCGCAAACGAGAGATTTCATGGATTTATATTTTATTGTAATTCAGTCAAGCCTAATTATATTTTTTCTTACAGTTCAAGTTCTTATTAGCATATTTTATTCAATTAATCTATTTATTTATGTCTATATTTTACAAAAGTCTAAAGCAATTATACAACATTGTGACTCACACGTTTAAGAATTACCAAACAAAACATGTACAAATAGCGAATTCTAGTGATATTATTATCAAAGTTGTTTAGTAAATACAAATGAAATATTCATTGGTTATCCGTATCCATTTATCAATTATTGATTAAAATGAGCTTATCGAGATACGAAACTCAAATAAAACATTTACATTCCATTTTTAAAGCTTACTTTCGTTTCATGTAAATGATAGGCGTTAGTGGGACAGATTTAATTCCGATTACACCAGTGACCTTAATTATTACTTGATACGTATAATTTTATTGTTAGTAATAATCCGGTCCATTTGCATGAATCAGAACAACCGGACGAGAGATAAACCTAATTTACTTGCACTCTCGTATACACGGATAGGTAAATAAAAATAAGCTGTATAAGATCTGCAAATAAGTACGCGAGACCGTAAAAAGTAACAAGTCAACCGTGGGAAAATTTTTCCACAACAACGGATCAGAGTCGGCCTCGACTTTATCATTGTTATGTTACACTAATTTAGTTATGCATACTATTGCGAATTTGAGATTTGACAGCCCCGTTATCTCCTTGTTGTTCAACTGTTCCTTCTTCTTTGCAAGTTGTAGTGCCGAAGAGGTCGATTCGCCTCCATTGTGCTGCACATTACATGTCACGTAAATATGTGTCTTGCTTTGTCTGGTGAAAATTAATTGTCTGCAGTTGTAGTCCTCGTGATATGATGCAATCCAATCTTATGCGGATGTGGTCATTGATGAAAACCATTTTTGCTTTCGGTTGGTCACTCGTTTTTCCCACGCGTCATTTCGCATGTCTTATATCGTATCAAAAATCTTAAACGTAATCACGAATACTAATTTATTACGATATGAAATAATAATTAATGTCCGGTTAAGTCAACACCGCCGCCAGATTGTTTTTATTGCCTAGAAATCGTTTTTAATTTTTTTCACATATGCATTCTCCTAAAATTAGCATAATGAACTGTTGTAGTCTGTACACGAAGTTTATGACAAATAAAACTTTATTAAGTTGTCACCGCGGCATTACATGTTGCCGATTTTTCAGAACTTAACAAATGTCACGCAGGTTAATCCATGGCATTGTTCTCTGGCGATTTAAAAAGGCATCACTTTTCCAAAGTCCACCCTGGACACAAAAAGAATCTTATGAGCCAACTATGCATGCATCACTTTGTTTTGTTACAAGGACAATAAGGAAAGAAGAATCAACCAAGAAGAAGACGGAGACGTTCCTCACACACAAGCTTTTAGCTCGACAAACACAACAACCTGCTTCACGTTGAAGAAGCCCAATTCCAATGATACATGACCATGTACCCATGCACCAGACCAAACCACGCGAGAGGACCAAAAACTTCTTTTAACAAGTGGCTTTCATCTTCAGTTTTAATCTGGCAGGCTCACGGAAAGGACTGGCTGGAGCTGTGCTATAGCTTTGTTGGTTGGCCAGTTCCATACGAGAGTTCCTGAGTCTCATTAAAGTCACTAAATAACGGAATTTACCATTAGATTCTACTCTTTAAACATTATTGAGATTTGCAAATTTTGTCGAGTTGAATTATAGCATTTTGTGAGCAAAGACAATCTATTTTGACGTTTTCCAACGTCAGCGTTATCTACATTTGGTCAAACAAGGCAATGACATCGAACCGTATTATCACTTAAACCACAAATGTAAGTTGTCGTGTACTATACTACTCACATGTGCGTGTGTATTCTGGAGAAGCTCTGTGTGTATGACTTGATAACAATAAGTCAATAGATAATAAAAACGTTTACTATATACAGTTGTCACTTGACTAAAAACTTAAATGCACCACTTTTACATTTTGATAATAGTCGCACGTATTCACTCCAATCGTGTTGTGACATGTTTCAGTAAAAAATAAATTCTTGTAAAGTTCCATGAATGCAAATTCGGCCCCACAGCGAAGCTATCAAACAGTTTCTCGTGGAAAAATAGTGATGAGAATTAATAATCTTAACAACAAAATATACGAATACTTATCCCGTGAGTGGACGAACTGTGGCAGCAATAGACTTTTGTAACGTGAGCCGATATTACATACAAACCCAAGTGAAGTGTCAAGTATAATAAGAAACAGAAATCTAAACAATAAGCACCTCGGAGTCCGAAAAGATTAAAGTTATTTTTCAGAAAAGCTCATATATCAACACCGCATTCATACACACATCTCCGCCCCCAAAGCAGACCAAGTTCCTTGTTCACGTCCGCATTAAATGGGAAAAGACAATCACATATAACCGCCTAATCGACCCCTGTGCCTGTGCAATATGTGGATATGATAAAGGTTCTCTGACTGACCCTTCAAATTCTCGACTTACAACAGTTTTTTTTACTTTTGGACCACCAGAAAGTTCAAAGTTTTGGGTTCAACTTTAGCCATTTTCGTCTCATCGACTGACTCCAAGAGATAGTTAAAGACTTCCATGAAAGAAAGGCCTCTGTTTTAAAAAAAATCCTTCCGTACGCTAGTTATTTATTGTAGATATTTCGCTGGTCAGCTTCTCACCCCGTACATCACGTTGAACAATCCAGCATGTGCATGTAGAAGAGTTCCTTGAAGGAAAAGAAATTTGAGACTTTTGTCTCACTATTTGGACTCGCACTTATAAATTCTTGTTCCTGGTTGGGTACCCTTTTAATTTTCAACTCAGCATGTAGCAAATTGTCAGTTTGCTCAAACATATTTGTAGTCGGTACTCGGTACATTATTCCCTCCCGTGGCTCATAATTGAAGCGAAGAATTTCTGATGACCTGCAAATCATCCTCGTCCACAAAATACTTTCCGAGATTTTTTTCTTCCTATAACGTTATCAATACGTAGCTTTATATGCATAGATAATTCATCATTAATTTAACAAGGGTGGATTTCCCGTGAATTTTTCAAAGTGCCATGAAGTGTACAATAAAATAGCAATAATATGTATTTTGTAAAAATATCTTAATTTAGTTAGTTAAGTATTATCGTTAACCTGTTTAAATGTCTCTGCGATGAAGTTGGGAAGGTGGTGCTACGCCAAAGTGGGGACAGTTCACCAATCACCATTTTTAACCTCGCCTGGATCCGTTGGGCGACTGAACTTGGGACGAAGGCACTTATCATTCCGCATGATGCAAGGTTTGATTGGCATCATGCTATTTTGCATGTTCCTCCTCGTCTTTCCTCTCAGCCTGCTCTCCACCCACGCTCAGCCCACGATTTCTACCACTTTAGCGTTTGATGATGGGAACTCGAATGCAATTGCAGTCCCACAACACCAGCGAAAAGACAATGCAAACGATTTGCAAGTGAATCTTGGATTCGCACCGGAAACATCTGGCAATTATAACTATTTGTACAATGACGGAGGAGATAATTACCAAGATGAAGGCGAGACTGTAGTCAATTCGAAACTAAAAAATAACACAAACAGTGATGAGTCGTCCAACACCAATTCCGAAAACAATCGAGTCTCGTTTAAGAGCAAAAGTGGTGGCGTGTCAGAGGCTGTGCTAACTCGAAGAAGGAACAAATTACTGCAAAATAGTCACTACAAACAAAGACAAAAGTTGTTGGACAGTGTGTTCATCAGTGTTAAAACTACGAAACGATTCCACTCCACGAGGCTGGAACCCATATTAAAGGTACAATATTAAAGTAAACGTAGTAAATTAAGCGACAATGTATGTATGTCTATGTCTAATGAATTAAATTTTACATTATTTTAGACCTGGTTCAATCTTGCAAGAGAGCAGGTTAGATTATTTAACAATACCGATGCTTTGTTTAGCCTTACTTTAACCATGCTTATTGTCTCGCTTTTCTCGAAATATAAATAAAACAAAAGCTATATATGCTACATATATATACAGGAGTTTGCGAGGCTTGAGACGTTGTTGTTTGAATACGTTAAATTAGGTCAACTAAACATGACATACCGTCGTTCTTCATTATTTATGTAATTGTCAAATCTGTAGAATAAAAGGTTCAACTTCTCTAAAAAATGTTCATGTTTGCAAACCTATCCCAACTATTCCTACAAACCATGTCGTATCTTGACCTTGCCGTATTCTGTACAATTGAGATATTGGATTTGTTTAGAAGCAGTTTGAAACAAAAAAAGTTTGAGTTCAACTGTCAAGGGTCGGTTAGACACTCTAACCAGCGATACCATATGCGTTTCATCTCGGTAGATTAGACAATGTAGGTTATGAAGATGTTTATTTTCAAACATAAAGCTTTTCCTACTTTTGATTTACTAAATACCAAAGCTGTCCAACGTATGGTCCAAGTAGACTCAGCGTGGATTGGTTAGTATGCATTTATTTAGTTAGTGAAATCCTTGATGAAACCGTATACTCCGCTCGAACAATTTGTTTAACTGGATGGAGGGAGATAAGCAAGTAAAGGCCAACTACCTAGAATAAGGCCCATTTCTGTTCCACAGCACCCTAAACCGAGATCTTACACAAGGGCCATAAACTACTCCAAATTTTACTGCCAAGAAAAGTAGACCCTTTGTAGTCATCCATAACTGTGGAGGAGACGTTGTAAATCTGAAGAAAAGTTGGTGGATGGTTCAAATTTCCTCCGGACCCTTTGGCCCTATATACTTGTATAAATGCTCCCTAATAATTTACATTGTTCGCTATTCTTTCCACTTGAGGGGCAAGCATTATGAGATGGAGAGGGACGGAATCCATATAATTAGGGCAATCTTGGTGCATCACGGCCCATGGTGAAAATATTGGACACATAAATGTCAAGGAAGAGCATTTATGAGCGTCTACGTATATGTTATCTGTATTCAACGGTGGCTGTGTGGCTCCTTCAAATGCCACTGAAATAATTCCATAAAACCGAGCCAGTGAAAATCAAATTAGTCTGTGCACCAGCCGGAGGAGTCTTAATTTTTTATATGTAACAGGATCAACCAAACTTTGGCATCTATTCAATGCTAGAAAAAAATAATAAACCCTCGAAAAAGTTTTTGAAAACTTTTAAGGTCTGGAAACTAAATATCCAAACTTCTTTTCTGGTGAACCGTTGCAAGTTGAAATGAAGTTGAAATGTTTACGAGGTGGCATACAACACTTGTTTCGCTTCTTATGATGTACATTTCCGCGTTAGTTTTCGTGTATCTACAAATGGCATTGCTATGCGTATCCCTGTTTTTTTGACCGAGTTGACACATTATGGAATTAAAGGCGAGTAAATTCAAGCGATAAATTCATTACGATTCAATGTTTCACTGAAGAAACAAATCGAATCAATTTTCTCTGCATTGGGTTTCATGGTTTCGATATGCTCCAAGGACTTTTATTTTTTATTCTTAGGTGAAGCTATCAAATGATTAAAAAAACTTACTGCAGGCAACATCGTAGGACTTGTAAGATGGCTTTATTGATTCTATCCTAATAGTTGGGTCAAGAAATATACTTTTGTGTTCAAAATTTTCACATAGAATCGCTTAAAGAAGGTTCCCCAAGAAAAACTTGTACTTGTAAACTTAACAAATCTGATTACACATGTAGCCAAACACGAGTTTAATATGAACAATTATAATTCTAAGGTGAGGGGATAATGTGAAATTTAGTAATGGAAAGAAGCTGAAGTTGGAAATGCTGGTAAAATTTGTAACCCATCAATCCAGATAATAATTTTCTACAAAAAATGCAAAATTTAAATTTAGCCAAATTACTAGTTGGCAATACATACATACAAAGTAAAATTGCAAATTAGTAATTCTAACTTCAACAAAATTTTTTAACTGAAGTGTAAACTGCAAACTATTCATCTTTTATTTTGTACTTGTAATCGCACCTTCGCTTCGCCTAAGCCATCTTTTTTGGGTTTAGTTTATTGATGATGAAGTCTTCAAGTCAACTACTACACGTATCATAAGTAGTTCCGTGCTAGTGCGTTTGCTTTCTTTCCGCTGAACCATGAAACTTGTGGTTTGTTGATTCTTGGTAGTTGTACGTAAGCATAACAATGGTTCGAGTTTAAACAACGCTATGATGCATATGCCTTGTTACTAATCAAGTTTGACAATATTTCTTATGTGCACTGCGTAGTAAATCTTTTCAGGTTAATGTTCTTATAATTCTTACAGAATTAATAGTCGTATGGTTTTTGCTACAATGACTTGAACTCTAGGATTCGCTATAGTAAATCGATGATCAATCTTTAGATATTTCGGTTTGTCAAGTAATAAAACTCGTTCCATTGCGTAAAAAAAGTTTGAGTTGTTTCTGTTACTATTTTTACTACTCCACCAAGTTATCAAGCACGAAGAATGATACTCTTTAGCGGTTGACGGATTGGTATTTATATTTACTGGACAGTTTGAAACGGAGGACAAGAATTCTTAGAAGTAAAAGGATTGATGATGATGATGAATAGAGCTGCAAGACAAATTGGATTTGGATTGTCGCATGTCGTAGAATGGAATGAAATCTTGGTGGCATTTGGACGAGGGGAAAAAATATTCAAACTTTATATGTTCTTGACAAACATTAATCAGTTTCAACTCTGTTGCACTCACTCTTGTCTTGGATCCTTATTGGAGGAGTGATGAGATGCAGCAATGCAGTTCCATTTTTTGTCTGTGGTTTTTACGCACATCAACGCTCTTTGGAATAAGTAGTACTAGAACATCTTAACAGAGTTGAACTATTAGTTTTACTAAGGATAAGTCTTTATATCTGCATTTGTTTAGAATTTATTTCAGTTTATCATGCTGGCCACAAATGCGTCTTGCGGGCATTGGCAACTAAGTATGCTAAAGTTGATGGAAGATTGAAATATGGGACCCATTTTCGATTTCTAGATGATCCTGGACAGACATCATTCGGTTTGCTTAATGATCCACTTTCCATTATCCGCCTTCATTTCGTCGAGATTTTACAACTTGAATAGTTTAAACTCTGCACTAATGGATTTCAAGTGCATTGGAATGGAACTGACAAAAAACACTAATGCATATCCATTCGTGTTCTGATCCAATTTCCAATTTGAAAACCAAATACCAAAAACTCAGGGTTGTATATACATATTTGAGCAAGAGCATTAAAAGAAAAGACTACTCTTAACTTACTTTATATGTAAAAATAGCTGTTCCTTTTAATGCTAAGACCATAATCTTGCCTGTGTTGCGTGTTAGCAAAGTTTTAACAAATTCAACAACTATTACAAAAATGTAAATTATTATTGTAAAATTATTATTATCTTATTGAGCATACTATTTAATGAGCCTTGAAACTGGAATGCAGAAATATCCTCTACCGCTTAAACCGGTAAATACATACTGAGATAACAACACGGCATAAGAATAATATTTGTTTTCGCACTCTTTTTGTTGGAATTTACAGAGCCTAGAGTTGGTAAAACCAGTTTTGAAATGTTTTTACCATGAAATTGTAGAGAAACATCTTTAAATGGGCAACCTGTAAGGTCAATCCGGATAAAAGTGATGATCATGAAATGGACCTGCTGCAGAACGATCAAATCACGAACATTTCTCGCTGATTTGTTGAATTTCTTATGATCCAAAACCAACGTATTCAAAAGAAAACGACTACAAATTAATCAAATGTATTTTTTTCTTACAATCAGAACAATGAACATATCAGCACGCAATCCATCAACAGTGCTCCTTTGCGTCTTTGTACATAACTTTAGCTTTAGGCTGTGTTATATAGCAAAGGTCCCTGAACTTGCATGTGAAGAATGTATAGATATTACAAAAAAATGACAAAATATAACCTTTTGATCTGAGAACAATTTAGCAGTCGCAGCAAATGTATTTACTTTTGGTCGCTTACATATACGAACAAATAGTGCATGGTCGAACAGAGTGAAAACGAATAAAATAAATCCCGTCGTCTTTTCTCAGTAACTATTCTCTACTCACTTCTTGAACTCTTTTCAAGCCGCTTCACTAACAAGAACTCAATAAAAATTCATTTATATTGGTTTTTAGTTTTAGTATGTCAAATAATAAAATTCGTGAATATTAAATACGTACATGCATAAACTTAACGGGTTAATTCAGGTGCTTGGTAATGTACAGAGATCACTATCAAAGGTCGTATCAGTTCCTCGACACTAAAATACGACCAACAATAAGTATTCATCGCCCAGGTGTCCGTTTTCCTTGTTCTATTCAACATCAATCGAATCCAGTACGGAGTGAACAGATTGATCTGTTCATACCAAATTAGTGCATGAGATGGCCTTATCATGTGTAATGACCACTTTAAGTGCGGGACAAATCCCACCAACATATTCAAGGGCACGCACGTTATATAAATACCTGTCAAATTAAATTGGAAGTTTTTGGTTGCGACGCCGTTTATGTGAGATCATGTGGAGCTCAATAAATAAATGTGGATAATTCCGACCACTAAACCCGACTATACGACTGAAGTAGTATAATATTATATGTAGAATTTTCATAGAATTTATTGTGGAATATTACCCTGTGTACGATGAAAAGTCTTTGAGAATTTAAAATGCCCTTTTCCTACCAAAAATAACAATAGCCCAATGTAATAATCTTTATCAGCAGGTACTTTTAAATTACATTGATCATTTGGGAGTTAGTTTTAAGATCTTCAGATTTGGATTTCCAGATAACCATCTTTTACATCACGCCACACAATGATAAATAGTTTACATCTGGGGAATTTTGTGAGGGTCTACCATTGGGGATAATATTTGTCTCTGGGTCGCGCTGAATATTTGTCATACCTACATAAAATGGTGTATTACGACATGTATTCGACTGTTTAAGAATATCTGAAATAATAGCACCTTAGGTTTTTGAGGAAACTTGCTTCCATCTGATTCCCTTCGGGGAATTTTCAAATAATGCATTTTCATAAGTTTTAGAAATAGTACCTCACTGACTAATTATTTACCTGTGATGCGCTGTAAAATGTTTTTATTTGGAAAATGATAATTATGGGGTACCAAGCGCAGGTGTCTATATTATTAAATATTTGCAACATGATGCATACCAAAACCATTGTAAACCTCCAAAAAACAAAGTGCACATTGTCCAGATGTCCTTCCCCGTGAACAGATTCTTTGATTTTGGCACTAGCCAAATACACACCTTGCAGCAGATGTTATATGTACAGAAGGTCGTATTCTGATATTCTGTGCAATTTGCAATGGTCATAAATTTTTAAATTTAATAAATCTACCAAGTTATCCACCACTTTTACACAGTTCATAATATACAATTCCTATAAAATTACAGTCACATCTCATGTCGTATATTTAAGTATATGCATACATGGCTCTCTACATATCTCGTCAAGACAATCGTCTTCTTTTCACCCACAGTTCGTTAGCCTTTGCCTTTGCATTAGGTATATCATGCGGTTGTTTCTTATTGGGATGTTAAAATTATTTCCCATCCGCAAAAATTACTTAAGAACAAAGCAACATTTTTTTACAACCAAATTCACATTGACCAAATCTCACTAACGATCCAATCCAGCAACTAACAACGTCCATAATGATGTACCGATGATGTAAAGAGTTGATGCATACCGATTCTTAGATCACAGTTCTTTTACATTATGCAATGCAATGCCTAGATGCATATATCAAAAGTATGAAATAACACATTGGCTAAGCAGTCTTATTGTGCATACAGGTATACTGATTTTTCTTCAATATCAGGGTTCAAAGATTCCTACGTGCATTTGGAAATGCAAAGTTTTTGGTCATTGATTTATATTTTTTTGTGCGCTGAAATGATTGGCCAAGAGCCATATAAATATTTATTTCATAGCTTGTTGCAGCTTTCATGCATATGGTAAAGTCTGGTTCACTTTTCAGCTTTGCATGCATTTTTGGCCACAATATATACATAAAAATAATGACTCTGTGAGTCGTACATTATTACGATTGTTTCTAAAAAATATTCTTTGATTTTTAGACCTGGATATTCACAGATGCCGATGACCCTGTATTAGACAGGAGAACAGGTAAGAACTTTAGCCATCTTGGTTTAGAATTTATTTTAAATGGTTATAAACTATCGGAACGTTAACCTGATGAACTTGTGTTTAAGGGGGACACATGATAAATACAAACTGCCCTTCAACGCATTACCGGTAATAAAATAAGCAGAATTTGTCTTGATAAAACGTAACGCATTTTACTTACTTTTTCCTGATTTTGCAAAAAGGGAGGGCCTTTGCTGTAAAATGTCAGCAGAATTCGACACGTTCATTCATTCCGGAAAATCGTAAGTTAAAGCTTTATATTTTTTTATAGTCGTGATCGTGACTGCAAACTAGGGCGTTAAATATACCAAATTTATACATATGAATGAAGCAATTCGTTCCATGCATTCTTTCACTCTCGCTCGAAAAATATCTTAAACATTCAAAACCATTGAACTTGGAGTTTTTTTAAATATATATTTTGTCACTCACTTTTATGACTGTCGTGTTATCTTTGTTCACTTTATTTTAAATTGTTGTTTTTCTCAGGAATTCATTCGACGTGTGTAATCTTTGCCTTATGTGCTTAAAAGTTTCACCAACCAACACCCTTCCTAAACTCATCTCGAGATAATCGTTGGAGCATCAATGCGTCTTCTCAATCTCATTTTTTAACCTTTCCCTACTGTTACGACCCATTGAAGCTGAAGTGACATTTAGGAAGTTGGGAATAGTTTTTTGGTGTCGCATTATCTAATCGTCTTTCTGTGTGTTTGTGTTCGTAGGTGGTTTTGTCATGTGGACGACGACAATTATTTAAACGTCCCAGCCTTGTTGGACCTCCTAGAGAAATATGACGCGAAGGAATATTGGTACTTGGGGAAACCAAGTCTCAAGAAACCAATTCATTTGAAGGAAAATAAATCGGTATGTACATAAATGTTTATATCCATTTAATACTTTTTTAGGACATTCGGCATTTGCAGATCATATAGAAAAGTATGGTAAACTCTTTCTTCACGACTCATTGGTTTACATTCATGATTATGCGATATTGAAAATAAGTAATTATTGGAATAATTCAAGTATCTGTATTCATGAAGTTCCCTTTCTGACCATAAAGAAAATGATTTAGAGCCAGTTCGGATCAATATTTAAAGTAGTAATGAAAAATAATTAGAATTCATTCCGTTTGACGTTTTATGGCCTATAAACACCCAACTAGTACGTATCAGTTGTGGAGTGACCAAATTTACAAACAACTATAACCAGTAGCCACCCAGGGGGATAAGAAAAGGCGTGGCAGAGGAGCGGAGTAGTTAAAATTTTATTAACAATTCGGTAGTCAGTCAGAGTAGAATATCAATTTGCAAATTTAATGAGATGATCACCCCGATAATAATATTTACGAAGGTGTACTCAGAATTTTAATGACATCAAGCTAAAATTGATCGGTAAATGACAAGCTGTCGGGTTTGCGGTCTTATGCATGCTATGTCATGATAGAAAATAGATTTCAATATATTTTCGAATATCTTTTATTATTTTGCTTAACTGGTACGATAGAATTTTTAGACGCAGTGAAGATAACAATGTAGTCATGATCATTGTCAATCTGGGAAAAGAGTGAAGCCTGAGAGAATGTGCAGATTTATGACGACTCCTTTTGCACTGTCGAGTTTGAGTACAGCAAACTTGTATGTTGTATGTTGTACTTGCTACGTGCAGCTCAAATTATAGTGGATAAACTCCATGTAAATTATAATTTAGCCCTAGTCACGTAAAAGATAAATGTGCTCATCTTGGTGCTCTTACATACTATCTGGCGTATGTCCGTTCCCGAAGAGAATCCTGGTATGGTGGGTGCTATTGATGATGCATGGTGGGTATGCTGCTTATGCTGCATCTAAAGATCTTGTTTTTTCAGTTACCAGCCTTTACAATAGACATAAAGTAATAATATATTCTTAAATTCCTTTCGCATAGCCCGACTAATATTGGAGGAGCGTCGAGTAATTTACTGCTGCCTGTCGAATACAACTTGGTTTAAAGAAGCGACCAAGTTTCCAAGTTTTTCATTAGTTTTCATGAAAAAATCTCGAGCTTAATGAAGCAGAGAATGTGAGCTTGAGGGGATGTATTGTGGCCAAGGTGCCAGTCGTGCCTTCGTGGCGTGCCTGGACTTTTGACTAAACTTCATTGGCACCACCAACTGTATAAAATCGTCTTTTTGTTGCTCGTGGCTTCTTCTGATTGATCATTCATACTCATGTCCACTTTTATTTAATGCCAATACCAAGTGCATCATCATCTACACAGCATGTCCAAATCCGGTTTTGGCCTCGCAATAATTTCAATTTTTAAACCATTCATGCCAAAGCTGCCCCCAGTTTTCGTATTTTCACGTGGAGGGTTTATGGGTAGAAGGCAGTCCTATATTTATATGATCGTGATCGACCAGGTATATTTGCTGCTGTGTCGGAGGAAAATCTGCACAATTGGAATGCAGTTTAATTACCTATAGGACAAGTAGAAATAAAGTTGGGTTTGTACGTAAAAATTGGACGAGCATTTCTATTTCTCCAAAAGTCTATTATTTCTTGAAATCCCAATTAGATGCGCAACTTCAGGTCTACTTTCCATCGTACACAGGTGATACAATCGAGATGCAGCGTTAGACAGATTGCCTGTGGTACATAAATATTGTATCAAAGTCTCTTTCGATTTATTGCTTATGGACTCTGTCTCTAGGAGGATTTATTTATGCTGCAAAAAACCGGCTCTATCTCATCTCCAACTTTTTACCTCTGTCGAGTCCAGGAAAGCCCATTATATGCATAATTCAAGACATTCAAGAGAAGGCTTGGTTCGGCTGGCTAACAACATCCAAGCAACTAAGCAAAGCGAGATTGAAAACCACATTATTATTTACGAGGTACACGGGGAGCTGGATTTATTTTAGAGTCAATTTAAAATATTTCCGTAAAAGTATTGCAAAGTATTGGAGATCATTTAGAATGAAATCCAATGTTTAAGGAAAAAATAATTCAAAAGTTTGCCCATAATTTGGTAATTTACAAGATACCAGTCTGACTCAATGTAAGTTTAATTGGCTTTTATCGTTATTTAATCCTATTTAAAAAGTCAAAAACCTTATCTTAATACATCCAGGTTCACATTTAGAGCTAATAAAAGAATACAAAGTCTTAAATCCAAATCGACAAATCTTGTAAACTTAAAATATTTCGTGGTTTTAATTATATTGGAGCGAAAAAGCACCTTTGTCCCTTCCTCTCCCTAATAAATTTTAAACAATTTAGATGCAATCTCCGGGAGAAATTCTAAGCTGAAGTTTATAACACTACAACCACAGCATTACATTCAAGGGGCCCTCTCTCTTTGCGTGCAAGTCGCAAGAGTTGACTTTGATGTAGCATTTATTATATGTCCAACTTATAAATTTTGTGACTCTCCTTTCCTCCTCCATCAGATTTAGGATCAGAGAAAGGGTGGAACAGGCAGGTCGGAGGAATGTCGTTTATCGTATCAGCGTGCAAAGGACACGGACTGAGGAATAAATACTCGAAAGCATCGTAACCCTTCCTTATCTCGTCCTTCATCGACCTGGGGTCACAAAAAACAAACAAGGCCTGACTCTGACTAAACTATGCATGTCAACCCATTATTTTGTAGGGCTTAATAAGAATATGATGACCCCGAACCCTTCGATATCTCTTCTTCCTCATAATGTGTATAAGGATATGAGCAGACTTATGTATAAGTCGGCAACTTGAACCTTCACAGGGTCGAATTGCATTTCACCTCGAAATTGCTTTCCATGAAACAGCGAGTCCTCTACACTTTCATTTTATGTGTTTCAGTGTCCACAACGAAAGACACTGAATGTTAATAAAGCAAATGTGACGGAAAAGGTGACCTGGTGAGTGAATAATTGTGATCTCATGTGATCCTTGACAATTTTGACCAGAACCAGCACATTATCTTCACCACTACTGGTCCACCATGCGGGGAGACATACTTACCAGGACCTAGAGAAAGGGTTAAATTTTATAAGATGGGCTTAGATAGACACAGTTTACAGAATCTGTGCAACATATAAACACAAACCCTCCGAAGAAGAAGGAAACTTGGCACTTATGTATTTAAGAGCAAGGCGGTGGGTAGGGTAGAGACGACCTGCTTCTCGCTCGTCATAAATAAATTGACAGCATTTAATCCTTTTCAAGAACAAGGAGGAGGAGAAAATATGTCCAGTGAGAGATTCCTTTGAATCTTAATCCTCCAATTTCATGGATGTGGATAGAAAAGAGAGATGATGCAGCAGGCACTTCGTATTAGTTGAGATTTTTGGGAACATAATTTGTAGAATTGAGCAAGGTTCAATTGGCACAAGGAAGAAGGGTTGCATTATAAATATATTTTGTCGTCCTCGTTTACTCAGTGTCTCCAAATGGTAGATCATCTTTGGCTAGACAAGCAACTGAATTGAATTGTATGAGATTAGAGACGTCCCTTCTTTTGAGAGCAGTATGCAGGCAGACGTTTAGACCCTTTGCTTACATTATTATAATACTTTTAAGTAGGAGGCAGATCGGTGGATGGAAAATTTAAGGTTACAGATTCATATTCTTGTGTTACTCGTGTTGGCAGTTTAAACACAACTTGACACTTTCGCATGGAGAATGAGGAATGAGGAACAAGACCTACGGCATGAACAAGAAAGATAAAGGCTCGTTTTTTAGGGTACTTTGAATACCAAATATAATGGGACTACTAAACATGTTGGATACGTGCATAGAAGCCATATGTTTACCCACCATCGCCATTACACATTCAAAACGATGAAGTTTCAAGTCATTGCATAGAATTTCTTTTGATTTAATCTGTAAATATATAAAGCAAAGGGTTGAAGAATGATGAAACGGAGACTGACATGGTATGACACACAGAATGATGCCCTTACGCTCACGTCCATTATTACTCTTATTTTTTTCTCGTAAAATAAATGTCCATCAACTCATGTAAATTGGACTTCGGAGATGGAAAGCTTTATAAATATAAAGATATGAGCTGGATGGAATTCGATATTTTATTTGCTTATTACAGACTCCCCATGACAAGAAGCTTCCATCATTCGATGATGATGTGTGAGTGTGTCAAGTGCTAAGTAAAGTTATTTCAAGCCAAAATAAATAGATGAGGTTAGTCATAAGTTTAAGATGAAAATAAACACTGCCCTTTCAGAATTCCTGACCACTTCAATCGTAAAACCTTTAAAGTCATGTTAATCTTCACGCATGTTTTCTTAAGCAGGCAGGATTAGAATTGGGGGAGATGGAATTGTTTCGGCATATAAAAACTGAAGGAACGGTTTAGTGGCGAGATCAACGGCGATGGAATGTTAAGAAAATCCAATCTCCTTTACTCCTCAGCTTGTAGTTTCAATCTGTTCCTATTTATCAGGGTCAAGAACGATGTGTATAATAAGATGTTGCTTCATCAAATTGAATTTTGACTTGTGAATTTAAATTGCTGCACGTTGCCCTTCCAGATTATTGAACCTCCGTACTTTGAATGCGTGGGGTAGATTAGATTTCATGTTTTAATGAAAGTTTTAACATAAAGTTTGATGTAAACCTCAAACCAGGCATCTGTGTCATGCACAAATAACCGTAGGCTAACCACATATTTATTATGTACTGCTTTTACCTTACAATTTAAAAAGTAGATGAAACGTTAATCTTGTATCGCCTTAAATTTTTAGAAAGATTTCCTATTTCCAAACGTGGATTGGGTATCGTGTAGAGTTGACATTGCCAATATTCTGATCTTAATTTTGAACTCTGCTGTAGACAGATCTAATAAAAATACAAGTGATCGTAGGGCCAGACCACACGCTGACACAC